CCTTCCTTCCTTCCTTCCTTCCTTCCTCTTTTGTTTTGTCTATGCATTATACATACGCATCACATACGGCAGAAATCGTAAACCATATTTCAGAGTTATTCCAAAAAATCAAACTAAGTATAACTAAAATAAAGAGACTCCAGAATCCCAGAGCACCTTTTGAGATTTAGTAACTGCATTTAGCATTGTTCCTTGTGTATCATATGAACCAGGTGGTATCAGCACAATTAACGGATGACCCTGGGTAATTTCTCAGAAAAAATCAGAAAAATTCACAAGCCAAGTGATTTTGTCATAATCCTACCAAATAATAAAGGGTCCAAATAAGAACCTTGGAGTAAAAAAAAGGGCTCAAGTTCTAGCCCCTTTATGTTACTAGCTATGATGTTAAGCATGGAACTTAAGGAACCAGTATATCTTTTCACTTCTTTTTTTTTTACATCTGCAAGATGCGGACAATAGGACCAGTCCTCTCTCCCTCAGAGGATCGTAGTGAAGGTCAAATGAGATAATGAATGTGGAAGCACTTTATGAACAATAAATCCCCATATAAATGTAATGCATTGCTCTCATTAATGTCATTGCTTTCTAAATTTATAAGTTTAGGACTTCTATTTTTAAAAGAGGAGAGATTTTAATGGAGGAATAGTCTAGATAGCATTTCGCTATGAAAATACAACGTGAATGTTTGGTATTAAATATCAAAAAATAATTCCAGTTACTAGTTGATTTCCAACTAGAGGCAAGCTTTATACAAGTAAAATATACCAAACGATTACATGATTAAAATGTGAACAAAAATTGTCAGCCCTTCAGTGATCTCTATTACAAGCAGCCAGATTTGGTGAGGAGGGGGCTGCCTTCACCCAGAGGACCCGCAGTGGGAGGCTCTGGGTGTGGGTATGGGGCCTGGGTCCCCACCCAACTGTGCATGTTACCTATTTATCTCCATGCCCTGCTTCCTCCTCACTGAGAACCAGACAACTTCCCTTCCTGGGTAGTTGCGCTGATTCAATAAGTTGATGATACACAGAAATGATACTTGGTCGGCATCATTGTGAGCACTCAGTGAATGTTGACAATTAGGGTTGTGAACCAATGATATGAAAACAAAATGAGAAAGTCCTTCCTGACCTCTTTTTCAGTGCCTTACGGTCCTTCTCTCTCTCTCTTTTTTTTTTTTTACCTTTATTGCCCCAAAAATAGAACTAAGATGGTATCTAAATAAAAATGTGAGAAGGAGAATCATGAACTTTCTAATGAAACAGTTCAGGATCATGTGATGTAAGTGAGGTGGCTTCATATGTGCAGAAATGTGTCTGTCACACACATGCTTATAGGTGAACACGTGTATACTCAAGCACACAGACACATCTGTTTCTTACAAGATACTGTAATTGAAGAGAAAAGATTGCTTAAACAATTATTTTAAGACTTGATCCACCAGGATTAAATAGCATTTTGAATGTTGCATGCCTTACAAATAGGATGACACATTCTATGAGAATAGTAATTTGGTAAGGGAGGTCACAGGAATAATTTATTAGGTAGTCAATAATGCAAAATATCTTATAACAGCTTAATCCATAATTTAGGCTCTATCTGACATCGAATAAATACATTCCAGGATTTTCTTCGTGCCTTCTGGAGGCTTTGGTAATCTAGAATTCAAATGTCCTTGGTAAAAATTCCTGACAAAAAGGCTGATTTTAAAAAATTCAGAAGATAGACTTTTAAAGAATATAAGAGACCCTGAGTGACTTCGCTGAAGATGAAGTTGGGGAGATTGAAGAGGAGGAACCACAGGCGTCCTGCTCTCTGCTCACCAATTTCCTTATAAGTTTGTCCATCTAGAAATAAGTCCCTGGCAGGAAAGCCTCTGTGAACTCTTCAGATGAAAGACACAACCAGATGACCACACTAACAGTGATGGCCCTGACTTTTTCTCTTTTCCACATAATCCATTCCTTCTGGGCAGCCATTTACTACATAGTTGAGCATCCAAAGGAAACCAGGTCATTAATATACATCAACTAAACAATTAATTAACACGCCTTAAGGGTATAAGAGGCCACTCATGTACATTCTAGCTCTGCATGGAGCAAATCTGTGATCCTCAACTATTATAGTACCTGGAGCATGATATTCAATTGAAATTTACTGAATAAAAGAGGAAGCCCACTGGGCAGAATGTTAAGTCCCTCAATAACTTGAGAGATAAATCTCAAATAAAGCAATGTGGTTTTTTTCTACATCAATCTATATTTGCATCAGCCTATTTCACATTTTTTTAAATCACTCTTGCCATTGCTGTTAGTATTATTTTACATTCCCAATTTTTTATTTGCTCTAAGCATCTAAAGGATGGGAGGCAGTTGGCAAATGGGAGGAACAAAAGAACCAGTAAAATGTAAGACTCTGAGGGCGGCCACCAGGCTTAAAGACCAGTCACAGGAGCAGACACCTTGGCCAAAGCCAGCAGAGCACAGTCCACAGAGCTAGACCCTTAGGGGAAGGAGAGACAGGGAGGAGGCTGGTGGAGGTGGGAATGGCAAGTGAGAGTAAACCGAGGAGATGCTGTGCCATGTAGGCGTCAGCATTCGCACCCTTAGCCAACGAGGTTTCATTGCTTTCTTCCTTCGTTTACAGATGAGAGTGCAGACCAGCACCAACGTCACAGTGAGTACATTTTGAAAACTCCCAATTAAGTCAAATGTAGGGCTGTGGTGATGGTTCCTCCATAACTAATCTCAAACTCAGTGAAATGCTCTGAAAATAAGATGTTTTCCTACGTTGTAAATGTAGGTTTATTGACTAAAACTAAACCTTGAGCAACAGCACAGGGGACCCAGATCTTGCTTTGTGGAGTTCAGTTGATTGAAGAGAATTACTTGGAAACTGATTACACTGGGAAGCTTTGATTTAAATCGCTTAAGTTTTTCTAAGCACCCTCTACTCAAAAATGTAAAAGAAGGGACACAACCCAAGTTGTGAGAATAAGGAAAGAGCCAATATAAATAATATCAAGACATTTTATTTTAAACTCGAAAACAGCATAAAAATTTGAGTGCAGTGTTGTAATCTACTTGCTCTACATTGCTAATTGGATAAGTAACCTTGCAGCAGATGAAAAGCTATAGGGGTTGCTCCCAGAATCCCACATGCCTTCCTTTGAGACCCGAAGATGCTTGACTTGCCCCCCTGCTTGCCTGCACCCGGTGCACTGAACTACAAAGGAGGTGGCCAGACCATCAGGCGGGGCAGAGCAGTCTGGTTTCTCCCTAGGCCTCTGCACCTTTGTTCCTTAAACTGAAGAAAACCTGTTAGATTCCTAATGTGTTTTACGGAAGATCCAAGGGCAGGCCTGAAACACGCAGCAGTTTCTGGCTCCCATGAAGGGGAGCTGTTCTCCTTGCTCAGTAGTGTGCTATCCTAGATATTGCTGATTCTACCCAACTTGGTGGCTTGAGGGAAGACACAGGCAAACTCATTGACCTCAACTTGATCATAGACCCGTGATCACTGAGGTCGTTTGTAGATATAAATTTTAAGCACGGCTACAGGGCCAGAGACCGTGGTTAATCTAGTCTCCCTGTGTGTCCCTGTGAAGAAGTGCTGTCACCTAAGTGAACAGGGCACAAAGATGCTGCTCTGCCAGCCGCCCTGTGCTTCCAGAGCTGCATCGGGCACTAGCTCCATTGTCCCCCAGCTGACAGTGCTGAGAAACTCCAGGGAAGGGTGAGAGGGGAAAAGATGAGAGCCTCTCAAGACATCACAGAAGAGATACTTGGAGGCTCCTCTGCAAACAAGGAGGCAAAAATGGGGTTTTTAATGTAACTAACCTATTTTTTAGTAACCATCACTATATGGTAGGACAAAACACAACATACATCCCCTCTGCCCCCCTCCAATTCTATGCTTTTCTATCAGGATACCTCTTGGATTACAGGATGTGATTACCTCTCGCAGCTGAAACGAATTGTTGCCACCACAGAAAGGACCATTATTGTCTGGGATTATAAAGCTCAAGGGAGCAACCAGGTACTGTACCAAGAGAAAAACTCAAAGACAAGAGATTGTCTTTTCCATGCTGGTAGGATATGAGCACCAACCTTTAATTACTGCACATCTGTTTCCCTATATGTACAATGAGGGGAGTTTAACTAAATAATCAAGCTCAGCATTAATATCACTATTAATATTTTTTCACTTAGTGTGTATTTAATTTGGGGGTATTGTTTTTTTTTGATAGAGAGAGGTTAATTCCTTTCTCCCTTTTATACCCTTCTCTTGAATCCAAGTAATAGCTTTTTGCCTATGCTCATGTTATCAAGTTCACAGCTTTTCTCTCTAGCCCAGCTTTGTTTGGTGAGAAATCTACTTAAATCAAATGTCTTGTTCGGGCAAAAAAAAAAAAAAAAATCTAGTGGGGCAGATGTTAATGTTAAGCCCTTCAGTGAGTGAGATGTTACCACTTAACCAATTCACGGTATTGACTATTGAGCATTTGCAGACGTATGGAAGTAATGGGCATGTTCCTCGCACTCACACCAAATGTAGTCCAGAAGGACCTCATGAATAAATGTAATATATAATGTAATGGTACAGAAAGTCATACAGTCAAAAAGAACAAATGGACAGGGGCCCAGGGAGAGGCAAGGATATAAATCAGGACCCTCGGGAAGCGGGCGGATTTGAAGGACATGAAGGGTTAAGAAATGCTTTCAGCCTCCTTCGTGCCATAGGGCCCCTAGTCTTGGTGGAAAACTGAACCTCTTATGCTTGTCCACAGGGTTATAATCATCTATTGAGGCCAGAGTCATTTCCAGGAAGGCAGCTGCTTGCTTAATGTACTTTATTAGGGGATGTGTCCGTCTCTCATGCCCTGTAGCTTGATAGCAACCTGTTCTCGGTCCAGCTCTTGCTTTTCAATCCCCAGAGGCCTCTTCCTCAGCTCTGCAGGCCCCCTCCTGCTTCCCCTTTTTCCATCTCACCTGCACCCCCTGAGGGGATCACCTGGGCTGAAGCAATGTTCCCTCTCCACCCTATTAAGTCTCTGTCCTTCAGGACTCTCGTCCTGGATGGATGCTGGAGCCCTTCTCTGGTCCCTCAGAGGCTGGCACAGCTGGAGACAAACGCTGGCTGGCATCACCTCAAGTTCAGGGCCTGCGGACTCACCCCGGTGCTCGCTGGCTCCCATCAGTCTGTTTCTTGCCCTTGCACACGCACTCTCCCATTCCTGGCAAGTATTCCCAGATTCCATTCTTTATCTCAGGCCCTCTCCTTCCTTCTCACCAATGAACTTGCCCCTATTTTCCTGAGAAAACTGAGTCTGGGAGGCTTGTCTGCTTTCAAAGTCCAGCCCCCCCACCTTCAACTTTAACTAGAAACACTCCCCTACTTGCTTTCTCTCTTCCTTCCTTGTTCTGAAGACAAAATACCCTTGTATCTGACACCCTGGTGCCCTCCTTCCTGGCCCAGGAAAAATCCCCATAGCTTCTGTCCTCAAGATATATAATTTTTTATCATTAATCTCTCCTCCTAGCCTCCTTCCTCTGAAACTCCTCTGAATCAGGTCCCAGATCCAAGGTGACCCGCCCTGCCCGGGGGACCTAATGTGCCTCTTCAGTCACTGTTCACCACAGCACCGTGGTTTATCTCCTTACCTGCAGTTCCCACTCTCTGTAATGATCTACTTTATTCATCGGCCTCCCCCACTAGAACGGCAGCTCTACAAAGTCAGAAACTTGTCTTGTTCAACACTGTATGGCCAGTGCCTACAATAGTTCCTGGCATGTCGTAGGTGCTCAAGAAGTATTTGCTGAATGAACGAATAAATGAATCTCTACATATGTTCACATCTCACTCATTCTAAAGGGAACAAAACAAATTAAATTTTTTTAAGTATGTATTTTTTCTGCTTTAGATAGAGACTGAGTTCCAGGGGGGCAATGGATGTGTAGGGACAATATTTAAATGTAATGTTTATGTATTTAGAGAAATGTGATAGCTTATTGAAAGTGCTCTTCTGTTTCCAGGAAAACTATTTCGTCATAAAGCCGATGGACCACTGCCTCCTCTGCGTGTGTGTCGTGCCCGTCACCGACCAGCTCAGCCGAGACGACATCCTGCTGGGGGACGATGGTGGATTTGTGAATAAATTCACAGTAAATACTGACGACTTTGGATTAAAGCAGGCAAAGACCAAAAAAAAAGTACAAAATCAGGTCTTAGACTCAAAGGACTTTAAAAGGTAAGTGTACTCCACGGGTAGTCCCATTGTTTTAAAATAGACATAGTTTAAGTATTTATGTAATCAAAACAATGTGTCAGACCACATGGTAAAGATGTGAAACATCCAACTGAACAAGAAATGCCTCTGATCTCAAAGAACTTCCGATATACAGGAAAAGTAGCCAATGAAGTTCCTGTTCTAAGTGCTATTGACCATTAAGTACTTACAGAAGTACTTAAATAAATTAAAGAGTTAGATATAAAATTAAATTATGAAAAACTATAGCAGATCTATGTAACTATTTACTAGCATTTAAATATGGAAGAAGTTTCTAAACAAAAGCAATGGATGTAAAATTCAAAGAAAAAGTTTGCTAGATTTGACTCTACACAAAAGAAAACCTCTGGGCATCAGAAGATAACATTCGTAAAGTAAATAAACTGGAATACATATTTGTAACAAATATGATAGGCAATAGGTTAAATACTCTTTCACAGGTATTAGAATTCAATTAAAGAAACCATAATTCCCCCAGAGAGACAAAGGTCATGAACAGATAATTCACACACATGCACACACAGTACAAATAGTCAAGAAACATTTCCACACGCTCATCAGGCAAATTTGCTAACAGTTATCTCCAACTGATGAGGTCACGAGCGATTTTTATTGTCTGTAGTGTCTCTGAAGATTTTAGAGTAAGGCATATATTTCGTTTATTAGCAAAAAAACAAATTTTGTACTAAATGTGTCCTCTCTACTAAGCAAAAGAAATACCACTTAAAATTCTGTATAATTTCTCACTTATAAAATCAGAAAAGATTAAAAATGAGGAAGATGCTATGAGACTGGCATTCTCACTTACCGCTGGTGGTGGAGGTTATGTGCTGGATTCCTTTGTGGAAAACACTTGGGCAGGTGCATCCAGTGTCTTAATATTTGTACATTGGGATCTGGGTTCCCCATGAGCTGAAAGATATAAGTATATCTCTCACAGTGTTATTTCTGATAGTAAAATATCTAGTGTCCAACAGTAGGGGAATGGTTTGATTTAAATGATTAGTAGTCATTGGAAAATACAAAAATGGATGGATTCATATAAGATAAAAAATAATATGAAACACAGGTCTTCATTTAGATGACCATAATTTTTTCAGTAAAGAAGATGGTACTAATATTGGACTGTGATTCTTCTGTATTATTTTTTAAATTCTTAATTTATAGCTCAAAATGTAATGCTAATCTTTTCTTTCTCCATTTTAAATAAATTAGATTATGAACATTTAATTAAACAGTTAAAAGTGGTATAATCCAGAGGGCGGTATTATATATGCCGGCTTTACCCCAGTTCAGAGTTGCAGTCTGATTAATGTCAAGTTGAAACGACAAACACTCAGCATGATGTGTCTGTGTGTCTAACGTAATCTCTCCCTTTTTTTCTTTCTTTCTTTTCATTCCCAGCGTTAAAAGGAAGCTGCATAATGACTGGGTTATGAAAGTTAGATATATTTCCACCCTAAATTGCTTTGGATCCTGCTCCTTAGACAGTGTTCATTCCTTAGTTTTGGACACCTTGAAGAGACTGGAGGACAGTGCGTAAGTGCAATAGCTTATATACATGAATTTTATGTCACTTTCAGGATTGTATTTTTTATTTTTTTTCAAATTATAAGAGAAAGTTTATTTAGAGAGTTACAGAGGAAGTAGAAGTGAGCCAGCTGGACTGCATAGGCTCAGGAAACAAGTGACAGAGGCAGAAGAAGGGCCCTTGGAGCTTAGTGGGGAGAAAGACAAAGGTAATATCCTGGGTAGGGGTGGAGGAGGGAGAAGGGAAAGGCTCGGTGGTGCTCCCCAGAGGGAGACTGCACTTCAGGCTTTTTATTATTGATAAGCCCCAGGCAGCGCTGCAACTATCCACTTGATTGTTAGAAAAATCAGATGTTAGCGATTCCATTTGTTGGACACGATTAGACTTGCAGGAGGAAACTGAAGTTATCCGTGCAAATCTGAACAGGATGGGGCCTCTTGCAGCAATTTTGCTCATTTGTTGTTTGTCGCTATATAATCGATTGGAGTAAATCAATACAGGCGTATCCATAACTACATCTCCCTGATTCCTTTTTTTGTATCTGCTCTTAAATGGTGGTGTTCTTTAGAGTTCTGTCCTTAGCCAAGGTAAATTCTCACTTTCTACGCAATTCTTGGGTAATGTTCCTCTTCTCCAATGTATAATACCTATATGCTAACAAAACCCAAGCTATCGAATTAGTTGTTAGAAAAATCAGACGTTAGCTATTCCATTTGTTGGACACGACTAGACTTGCAGGAGGAAACTGAAGTTACCCGTGCAAAACCCATGAGTTTTGGACTTACGAGTACCTTCCCAGCATCTCCATTTGCTCAGAGCGCCGTAAATTAGGGTGGTAGGGGAGAACACTTGGGGAAGGCTTCCTAAAAGGCGTGTCATGCGTGTGGAGCTTTGAAGAGAAAAGCCACAGAGTGTGAGTGGGGCGGATAAATAGCCTCATTAAAGACATGGCATTCACAAGGGTATGGAAATGGAAAAGGTGACGCGTTCTAGCGCGTGGAAGTGGCTCAGTAGGACTGCAGCGTGGAGAGGGAAGAGACTTGGAAAAACGAGGCTGGGCACAGCAAATGCGAAAGGCCTGCGAACCATAATAAAGCGTGGACGTTTAGCCTGAAAGCTACGGGAAGCTGCTGAATGCTGNGGCCTGCGAACCATAATAAAGCGTGGACGTTTAGCCTGAAAGCTATGGGAAGCCGCTGAATGCTGCAGACAGGACAGTGATAAAATACGTGTTTTGACAGAGCACCTGAGCAGCCAGGTAGGGACTGGAGAGGGGGAAAGGCGCGCCTTGAAAAGAGGGAGACCACCTGGGAAGACATGGTGATAGGTTAGAAAATAAATGGTGAAGGCTTGGAAGGAAGGAGGGAGAGAAAACCCATTCTTGTATACTTTACGAGATTTGGTGACCGACTAGATGAGAGAGCAATAAAGAAAAGAGAGGAAGCTAAGTTTCATTTTTTCATTGTCAGCAATATTTATTGCATGCCTGTTATGGACCAAAAACTGTCCCAAGAAGTGATACAGGGGTATATAAAAAAGGCTAACTCTCTCTTCTCCTGAAGCTCAGATTCTAGTGGGAGACACATCTATCAGCAAATAATCAAATACACACTACACAATGCAAGTATAGGCGAGCATGTGATGGAAACGAAGGGGGGTTACCGTGGAGAGGGATGGGAGGCAGTGGTTCTGACAGGATGGTCACGAGAGATGCTCTAAGGGGGTGACATCTGAGCTGAGGTCTGGGAGCGGAGGAGCAGCCATGCAGATGGCCAGGGGACGTTAGAGCAGCGAGGGCCTGCCAGGCTTCTGGTCCAGAGGACTGTCTGCATGGCTGTGCCGTCTACCAAGACAGAAGGAAGGCAAGGAAAGCAGTAAGTCTGTGAGGGAGCAATGAGCCACTCTCCCCACGTGTTTATCACCCAAGCGGTCTTGGGCATGTGACTTAACTTATTGGCACCCCAAGACCTCATTTATGAATGGAATGAGACTGACTTTCTCAACTCGCAGGATTTTTGTGTTGCTCGAATAAGCTGAGATGGGTGAAGGTGCTCTGAAAGCTATAATACACTGTAACAGTTGAGAGTATTATTATTTGCTTATAGACATTTAAGCTCTTTCATGAAGAATGGATTTTTAAAGACGACTTTGATTTTCACGTACTGTCAAAATCAATAATAATAATAGTAATAATAATAAATACTCTAATACTGGAAGAAAGGAGAGGCACTAATCTTTTCCTTTGGGAACAAGTTACAATGCAGCCAGTAAACTCTTTTTTGAGCATTAGGATCTGCTGATCAGGTGGTGAATTCTTGCATCAGATTTTAAGTGGGGTAGTAATGTTTTTTATCTCACTCAGGTTGGACACCTACTTTTTGTCAGGGAAAATATGCCCTTCAACTGGCATGATTCTAGGTAAATCTGATGTTTTCTTTGTTTTTTTGATGAAGTAACCTCAAGAGCAGAACTGAGTTAGTCACAGCTTCACACTCTCCCTCTCTTCTTTTGATCCTTCTATCCCATTCCATTTTCTCATTTACATGCACACACACACACACACAAACAGAAACGCACAGACAGGCAACCATCCCAGGGGGATTCATGTATCCTTTTGTTTATATATTCCCTGCAAAATGTTATGTGTTTTTAATTTCTGTAATAGTATTGAGGAGAATTTAAATTCCTACTCTCTGTACTGTTCCATAGATTCAGCACTTAGTGGTTGTGAACACTGAGGTTATCTAGAAGGTTTTATTTTTCCAAACAGCCAGCACTTTCTGCTTTGCTCTGCAAAGCATCCATTTTTCCATAGTCAGGAGTTTGTCTCTGAGCCCGACGCTGACTTCCTAGGATTTGTCACATCTCCTGGAATTTGGTTGATGATACATTCAGCCCAAGGGAGTCAGTCGACTGTGAAATAAAAGTACCCAGACAGCTTCAGCAAACGGTGATCACTGATCTATTCATCGAGGCTCTGGCTGAGATTTTCAATTGCGTCCTTGGGCCCCTCTCCTCCTAAATCTGGAAGCTAAAGAGAGCTCTCAAGGGATACTGTGTAATCATGTCTTCCTGAACCACACTGCCACTAGAGTGTCAGCCACCTCAGCAGGAGGAGACCCGGGTCCACTCCATCCCCAGATGCAACATATGCCGATTCCTGTCATTTCCTATAATGAGTCTCGAGCTGAAGCAGATGAAGCTACATTCATGCTAGTCCATAATCGGCCAGCTGGTAAATGGGAGCCCGCACAGCTCCCCAAAAGGCTGGGGGGAAAAAAATCTCCTCTCAAAAAATTTTCCATTTCAAAAATGATTATTATTCTGGTTATAATTTTGTGTGATAATTTCACGAAGTTTTCTATCAGCAAGAAGATGAACACCTGCAATTAACTATGCCAGGCAAAGCACGTTGGCCTGTTGCAAGACATCTGCTGAAACTTTCACCCTTTCCTAGCTTGAAAATTTGCAAAAAAAATTGCAAATAACTGCTGGGCATTCATTTTTGTCAGTTACCCAGTTCAGAGGCAGATTACTATATTGGGAAGTATATAGTGCCTCTGGGTGGGGTTGCTGTGGAGCCAGGCAGAGCTGGTTTCTGTCCCAGCGCTCATTAGCTTTGTCACCTTTACCATGAGCTCTTCCTCAGTTTCTCCATCTTTAAATGGGCGCAAATATATCTACCTTTCCATTTTACAAAAGTTACCTAAGTTTGCTCACGTGGCATGCCTGATTTAATGTCTGGCACAAGGTGCTTAACAAATGTTAAGTTTCTCGTTTTGTTTCCTAAATAAAGATACTGCAAAGCACCTAAGAAAAGACTGTGAATACAAGACGAGCAGGTGGAGCTATTATAGAGCTATACTGCTTGGGGTTTTGTGTTCCCACTTCTAGAACAGGAGTCAGAAAAGCTGGGGGGCCAAGTTCAGGGGGCCATGTGTTTTTGTAGCATCTGCTAACTAAGAATAATTTGTACAGTTTTAAATGGTTGAAGAAAATTAAGGAAAAGAACATATCACACCCATAAAAATAGGAAATTCAAGTTTTATTGCTCATAGAATTGTATGGGAACACGGCCATGCCTTCTCATTTATGTATTATTTATGGCTGTTTTTGTGCTGCAATGGCAGAGTTGAGTAGCTATGAAACACAGACTGTATGGCAAAGTCTAAAATATTAATTATCTGGTTCCCTAAAGAAAAAGTTTGCCAACTCCTTCCTGATCTAGAGTTTTCTATGGCACCCTCCCTTGGGAATGGGCACAATGTAATTCAACGACAGCTGATAATCCAGAGAGAGGGCCACTTTTTAAAAAAAATACCTTCACCTGAGGCCCCCTGAACTGTCTTACCCCACATCATCACGGAGACAATAAAATGCCTTCTTCCTCGGCCCCTGCCGTCACTCTCACCCACCACCCCCATGACCAAGGTGAGAAAAGATAGGACACACTGCTTGCTCACTGGCATTGCTCTTTTTAAAAAATATATTTTTATTTATTTTTAGAGAGAGAGGAAGGGAGAGGGAAAGAGAGAGAAACACGGATGAGAGAGAAACATCAGTGGGCTGCCTCTTGCATGTCTCCTACTGAGGATGGAGCCCACAACCCGGGCATGTGCCCTGACTGGGAATCGAACCTTTGACCTCTTGGTTCATGGGTTGACACTCAACCTCTGAGACACATCAGCTGGGCCAGCCTGGTTTTTTAGGGAGCACACGATCCCCCTGGAAATGCCATCATGTCTGGGCGTCATCTTACATTCACTAAACAACCCCAGGCATGTAACATGGGCCCTTGTAGAGTCACCTCTTTACCTTCCATCCGATGACCTGGCTTCCCTCCCCAGATCAGAGCTCGCAAATATGCATAACGCCAGCAGGGAGAGCTGGGATGAAGGATGCTGTCATCCAGGCAGGGTCTTTTGATAGCAGGGTGTTTTGGGGTGTTTTTTTTTTCCTATTTCAAAAAAATTGTTGGAAAATCTTTCTTTTTCCAAAGTGCTATTATATCAAGGGAAAAGTTCAGAGAACACTTGCCAGAATCAATACATCTCCTTCTGGGTGACTCTGGAAAGTGGTGTTGTCAACTAGGTATTTGTGCCTTAAGGGCATTCAAAGAAATCTTTATTGGGAGCCTTCTGCATTCAAGTCCCATGGTATCCACAGTTTATTTTGTTACAGAATGGACGACATGGGCCAACATCTATACTGAGATTATATGATAGATGCCTGTGCTTCAGGGGAAATAACACGGCACCAGGAGAGAAAATAACCCACAAGACGTTATTTAGTTGGTAGGGGTGGGAGGGTGGAGTTCAGGAAAGGCCTTTCTGAGAAGGTTACACCTGCAGGAAGGTGGTGGTTAATATGGTTGGGAGAACATCTTCAGCCCGTGCAGAAGCTCTCGAGAAGGGGAAAAGCTCAGTGCAGCCAGAAGGCGGCTGTGGCTGGATTATAAAGTGCCGGGAAGAGGGGGGCCTGGGGTGAGCCCAGGAAGGTGACAGGGGCCACCTGGGCCAGTGAGCCCTGTGAAGGAATGGGGCTCTTCTTAGTGCTTTGGGAAGCCAGCGGAGAGAAGAGATGTGAGCAAATTCATGTTTTGCACACATCCCTCTGGTTGTGGCAGGACGATGGGATCGGGGTGGGAACGGGAAAAGAGAATGGCAATTGCAGAAGCTGAGAAACAGCAGTTTGTTGTGGGGATGGAGGGTTGAACCAAGATATTGCCGTGGGAATGGGAAGAAGGGGTGAGATTTCAGGTGTATTTTCAAGGCAAAATCAGCAGGACTTGATAGCAGATTGGATGTGGGTGGTGAGAGGAGGAAGTGTCCAAATGTGTCCCTGGCATACGTGCCACCAGTGGACCCACTTAGCCACCAATACCCTTTCTGGATTAAGACGTGATATATCTCTGCCCGTCTTTACCACCAACACGACCACAACTCTAAGGGGGGCAGGGACTGGATTTTTAATTTTAGATCTCTTTTTTTACATTTTACTTTTCAATTACAGTTGACATTCAGTATTATTTTGTATTAGTCTCAGGTGTACAGCATGGTGGTTAGACAATCATATGCTTTACAAAGTGATCCCCCCAGATATTTCAAATACCCACCTGGCACCATAGATAGTTATTGCAATATTTTTGACTATATTCCCTTTGCTGTACTTTACATCCTCATGACTATTTCATAACTACTGATTTGCACTTCTGAATTCCTTCACCTCTTTCACCCAGCCCCCCCAACCCCTTTCCCTCTGGATATTTTTTCTTTTTTCTTAAGTAGAAACAATGCAAAGTGTTGTGCTCATATCACCACGTTGTGGAGTAAAATAGATTCTGTGGGGATTTAATAATTACTTATAATATTTTCTGTGGCTAAATGGATTTATAACCAACTGAGAAATGAACCTGTTGAACATAATCTCTTTATAAACTGGAATTAGCTTCATGCAGGAAATCGCATGTTTTACATCAGATCTGTGTTTCCCAGGCCTGTCAGAGAGTTTTCCATGCCAAGAGGAGCGAACACTTTCTGCTACTGTATAAAAGCCAACGTCATTGTCACTGGAGGTAAGAAAACAGTTCACGTTGCACAGAGACTTTCTACTTTGCAAACTGTGCTCTTCTTACTTAACACAGTCATAGAATTTTCATAAAGTTGTACAATTTTACTGCTGGAAAAACCTTTTAGAGAATTTAAAATGTGTATAAAGTCAAATCTGACTGCCTTTGTGTGTGTGTGTGTGTGTGTGTGTGTGTGTGTGTATGTGTGTGTGGCTTCTGGGTTCTTAGAAAGGCCTCCCCTAGCCGAAGAATATGTGAAACAAATTCCTCTGTATTTTCCTATAAGTTTTTATTGCTTCATTTTATGTTTTAACTTTAGTTCTTTAACTTATCTAGAACGTATTTCAATGTGTGAGAGCCTGTGTTCTTAGCCTGGGACTCACGTGTGGGCTTTAAGTCCTGCAGCCCCTGAAGCTCAACGACACTTGTGTGTCTAATGTGCATTTTTCTGGAAAGTTCAAAATTTTAACAAATTGCTAATGGGAGTCCACGACCAAGAAAGTCAAGAAGCTATGGCTTAGAGTTAACAGAGAAGAGGGCCACGGACATAGCCTTTAAAATGCCAACATTTAAGGGCAGATTATCTGCTGAGGGTAAGGGCCAAGGTGTGGATATAAGAAGCAGACGACTGAGTACTCTTTGAGCCCCAGACTCCCCATTTGTAATGTGGGGGTTCTAATATAGTGCAATGGCTTCAAGCCTGGGCCCCAGAGTCAGATGACTTAGGAACAAATCCTGGCTCTCTCACTTGCACGTTGCATGGCCTTGGGCAGGTTATTTAACTCTGCTAAGCTTCAATCTCACCTGTAAAATGGAGCTGATAATAGTACCTCCTCATAAGGTTATTATAAGAAGTCTGCGGAGTAGCATGTGGGGGTCTTGGCTCAGACTGAACAAGTTTTCTGAAGCCCTGCAGCGATGATTCCAAGAACAAACAGGAACCTGCGTCTTTAAACTCTCCTAATTAAGGTTATCATTAAAGACCTCCGCACCAAGTCTAGGACACATAAGGAAACAAATACCAGTATTAGATGTGTTCCAAAAAAGAAATGGCAGGCTCGTATCACAATTTCATGATCCCTGCTGCCCCTTCCTGAGTTAAGTTATGAGATGAGCAGATTCCGGGGATCTAATGTCCAGCATGGTGACTGTAGGTAACGATGCCGTATTGTGTAACTGAAAGTTTCAAGAGTAAATGTTAAACGTTCTCACCACACATACAAAAAATAGGTAACTATGGGAGGCGATGGGTGTGTTAATTAACTTTATCACGGTAATCACCTCACAATGTATACAAACATCAAGTCATCACACTGCACATCTTAAACTTACACAATGTTATAGGCTAATTATATCCCATTAAAGCTGGACAGAAAAAGAAAGCAACTTTCCCTTCAATCTACAAGTATTAACAAAATGACAAATCCACTCTTCAAGATTTTAATTTGGTCCGTGTCCTGTGCGCTCAATATTGCATGCTGTAATTTCTTGGTAAAAATGCATATTAAAACAGTGATTTTTTTCCCTTTTGTCAACATTTATAACACATTTTTAGGTGTGTATCCAAGATAAAAATTAGTGATAGTGATTTTTTGTTGTTGAGAAATGGCAATCTTCCTAATTTAAAGTACTTAAATATTAATGGAAACGTGTTATTCTTAGCTCTAAAAATAAAAAGGCTATTTGTAAGAGAGAAATAAAATTTAACACTAATTATCGGGAGTGGAACTAGAGATTATGGGGGAAAAGATTTTTTTTAGTAAAAAATTATACCCTTCCATATTATAGAAATCTTCTACCTGCATGATTTTAACAATTAAAAAACAAACTGACGAATCTCAGAGGGAAGGTGGTGGTGGGTGAATGGGTGGGGGGGAGAGATTAACCAAGGAATTTATATGCATATATGCATAACCCATGGACACAGACAAGAGTGTGGTGAAGGCCTGGGGTGGGAGTGGATGCGGGGTGGAGGGGTCAAAGGGGAAAAAAAGGGACATCTGTAATATTTTCAACAATAAGTATAAATAAAAAAACAGTATCTATGCTATGCTAGTAACTACATACAAATTATATATGCTTATGTGTGTGTATATATATATATATGTGCAGATATATATATGCTAGAAAGAAAGATGAAAAATGAAAACAGATGATTTATTATAATGGTATAGATTATGTGCAATTTTCCCCTTCCTTTGATTTCTTCTGTTATTGTAATGTTTGCATAATTTAAGAATGTGAGAACAAAAGAACAGCTGCCTAAAATGCTTTGGGAAAGTAAATAAAGTATAAATAATACATTAATGCATGATTGAGTAGGAAAGTACTGAATCAAGGAAAGGGCTCATCAAATATTTACAAGAATTCACATTTGCATATGTAAATACAATTATTACAAAACAGCCTTGAGGAGAAGCAGCAAATCCCAAACAAGGCTGGCCTCAGCAAGTCCCAGACTGCATCCTGGAAGAAACAGATGCAATTTGCTATGAGAAGAAAGATAAGAATATGATTGAGTGAAACCGACTGCAATTTGCTATGAGAAGAAAGATAAGAATATGGTTGAGTGAGAGACAGACTATTTTTTTCCATCTTTACTGGGACCTAATTGACATATAACATTGTGTAAGTTTTAAGTTGTACAGCCTGTTGACTTGATGCACTTTTATATTGCAGAGTGATCACCACCACAGTGTTAACTAACACCTCCATTGCGTCACATTATTATCTCTCTTTTCATGGTGAAAATATTTAAGATCTACTCTCTTAGCAACTTTGAAGTCTATATATAATACAGTATTATTAACAATAATCGCCACTATGTGCATTAGATCCTCAGAATTTATTTACCTTACGACTGGACGTCTGTAGGCTTTGACCAGCATCTCCAAGAGATGCCTGCATGCCCATGTTCATTGCAGCTAATTCACAACAGCCAGGATACGGGAGCAACCTAAGTGTCTGTCAACAGATGAATGGATGAAGAAGATGTGGCATGTTATACACAAAGGAAAATTATTCAGCCATGAGAAAGGAGGAAATCTTGCCATTTGGGACAACATGGATGGACTTTGAGGGCATTACGCTAAGTGCAATAAGTCAGAGAAGAACTAATACTGTGTGATATATATACAAACACTGAGCTCGTAGAAACAGAGTAGGATGGTGGTTACCAGGGGCTGGGGGTGGGGAAAATGGGAAGAGACTCTTTAAACTGTGACCACCTGCATCCCTGAGAAAATAAGTAACTGTTCCTTGCCCCTTTCAGGAGATGACAAGGTGCTCCGGCTGTGGCACCCCAATATCAGCACCAAGCCAGTGGGGAAGCTCGTGGGGCACATGTTCAGTATCACCGAGATCGTCACCAATGAGAAAGACCAGCTCGTGATCAGCCTCTCCTCCGCCAAGGTAACAAAGAGAAAACAACTAAAAGAAAAAGCCATCTTTCCTTTAAAATCAACTATTGGAAAATCTAGAATACAGACAATTTTTGACTGAAATAGCTGACAGTCCCTGAGAAAAATATTATCAGTGTGGAAAAGGAAATGATGAGCCGCTGTTCTGTCTCTGCTGATGATAGCACAAGGAAGGGCGTGTTTAAAGACTAAAAAGAATACAACTCCGGGAAGAGAGCCAATGTTATCCTCAGTAGTCACACAAGAGGCCTCCCATGACAGACAGAACATCATCATTAAATGCACAAAAAACTAGGATTTCTGTTGTTGCTGCTGCCATCAAACGGTGTTTAAATGTTCTAACCAATGTGATAAAGTAAGGGGAAAAAGAAGCTATAAATATTGTAATTGAGGAGACTAAATTATTATATTTGCAACTAATGGGATTGCTTGAAAATTTTAATAAAATCAGCTTAAAATTTTAAAATAATTTTAATAAGGTGGCTGGTTATAATAGCAGTCTCTAAAAATAAATTTCTATGGAAGAGCAGTAACCAGTTGGAAAAAATTGGGCAGACAGATAGCATTTATAAGGGCAAAATATTCCAAAATACCTAAAAATAACCTTAGCAAGCAATAGTTCCTATTAGTAGAAGATAACTATGAAGTTTTCTGAGGCACTTTTATTTAAGAACATAAACAGAGGGATGTCCTATGTTTCCGCATAGAAATATTATACTGTAAGATATTCTCCAGCAAAGTAAGCTATATATTTCATGTTAATCAGGATTATTTAAGTATCAATAATTGAGCCAACAGCTAAACTAGAGTTTAGCAAATACGTGCTCATCATAGAAGTCATATTTTGCTGCAAGTTCTTAGGAGCATATTACAGACTCTGAAAATGCTTCAGGTAAGCAGCTCTGAGTGGGGAAGGACAAATGTCAAGGCAGTGAGCTGTGCTCTTTAATCTCCCAGGTCTTCAGGGTGTGGGATATACAGACTCTGTCACTATTACAAGTCTTCCATGACAGCCAAGGAGGACCCGGGGACATGCAGATTTATTCCATGATATACGACTCCAACCATGGCATGCTTATCGCAGGTAAGCATCCCAATTAGTGGCAAACAAAACTCGTACCCTAACTAGCACTTGAGCACGAACTAGAAGAAAACCAAAACCAGAAGGGGGATTTATGAACCTTGATTCATCACAGTAGGTATTTAATTCAATTCTGTTCCCACCTATGTTTCCATGGCTGGTGTATAAAATGTGTAACTGTCCTTCTCTGAAAATACCATGTCGTTGCTCTAAGTTCTTGAACCTGGAAAGATGTGGCGTGGGTTAAGCAGAGACATGGGATGCAACCTGTTGCTAAGACAAGGAAAATTCTGCTCTGGTTTGACTCTCGGGAGCAGGAATATGGCCCACCTTAGAGCAGATGCAGCCCTTTCTTCAAGCAATTTGGCCCCAGGCATTCCAATAACGAAACAGTAGTTAATAAGAAGGGTGCTGACCACCTTACCTGCCCTTTCTTCTAGACAAAGAACAGTGGAGAGAGAGAGTGTAGAGGCCCCAATGACCGATCCGCAGCGCCGATGCCAACAGATTTGGTGCCTCCTTTCCTTGCTGCCTCTTAGAAACACATGTTTACTAAAAAGACAAAGGACTCCGCTAAGCATTTGGGTTGAATACTAGTATTATTAATACCCTCAGGCTTTCAAAGAAAATGAACTGTGTTAACACATCTTCCTCTGGAACGCCAACCTAGGATGCTTTTCCTAAGCAGCTTCCCAATGACCACCTGCTCTGACTTCCCGTGAGATTAATTAGGGCAAGAAGCCAATGGTGTTATTTGACTGGCTGGTTTCCATATTTCTCCTAATTCCATATTGAGGTATTTGAACTGAAAAATATTCATCGCAGTCCTTTACACATGAATAGATTTTTATGTTAACGTTTAAATACCTGAGAAAAGTGTTTAGGAACTCCTAACTCTTGCTGAAACTTTCCCTAAAGTTGAGATTTCTTTGGAGAGACTTGAGAAACTCAATGCAAAAAAAAAAAATGCACACCAGGAAAGGAAAGAGGTTTTCTTTTTGTCTGGGCTATGGGATGCTTTGGGGTTCTTATTCATATTTCCAGACATTACACTCAACCAGGATACACAGTTTGTGGATTTTGAGAGTTAAATCGTACTTACAGATTACTGTATACTCTCAAACCAAACCAAACACCCTTAGAAGAATGCAAGTAAGAAATCCCTGCTCTCTCCATCTACCTCACTATGGTGACTTGGGAAATAATCTTATTTAATATTAATGTTGCAAGCACTGGTTTACAATCATTCTCATTGGTTGCATATAATAAGACCATGTTTACAGTGTTGTTGTTTTTTCATTCATTGGTTGAAAAGGGATCTCTAGCAATAAGTTTCAATCATTGAATGGCAGTTTACCTGCCATTTCTATCTCCATTATTACTCTACACCAGATGGAGAGACGCTCTAAAAAGGAATAAATGGGAAAATAGAAGTCACTGACAAGAGGATATTAGTGAAATCCCAGTGGCCTGCACTTGAAAATTAATGAAGCCCAAAATGAATGCTTCTCTCTGGCTAAATCACATTTGCTTTATTTATATCAAAATTGTTTTAGAGTAAACGAATGCATTCTCACCTCATTAGAGTTCCTAGGCATTGATATTACTAATCTCGTTGATTGGCTGTCTCCAAACACAACTGGTTGGATCAAGTCCTTTGTGATTCAAAACTTCTACTATTCGGTATTTATGAGATTCTTCTTTCTGTTCCAGGATCTACTGTTATTGACATGTATCCTTTGGCTAGGATGATACAAGATACCAAACAGGTTCCTCACACTCATGAACGAGAAATCAATGTCATGCTGTACAACAAATATTTTCACCAAGTCCTTACCATCTGCTCTGAATCCATAATTAAGGTAAGCACATGCTGACTCTTCAGAAGGAAAAAAGACAATGCAGATAGACTCCCATGAAGAGAGGAGATTCAGACCAAAGGACTGAAGGACTAAAGTCACTGCTGGACTCATAACTGTTACATTTCTATCTTGCTTCATACTTATAAGAGCAATTGACTACTTCACCTACGGCCAGGGGCTTCCTGGAAGAGAGTCACTGCCTGTCTCAGCCACCTACATACGCAACAGACACACTCCTGGACAGCACAGTAGCTATTAGGCAACATTGCGTCTTTCAGAACTTTCTTTGATCAAATCAACATCCATGACAGGTGCTGGGAGAGGTGTTAGATGGACATAGCCCCAATTTTGAAGCTGCTTTGAATATTGTAAAATTTTGATGAGAACTGAAGGACACGTGGGTTATGTGATTTTTTTGTTCTTACCTACAGGTATGGGAACTTGAGACTGGCCTCCAAATATACCAGATTCTAGACCCTCATGGCTTCAGTGTTGAACTGACTTCTGCAGCTATCGATGAAAGTGGATTTCTTTTTGCCACAGGAGCATATAATGGTCAGACTAATATTGAGAATACGGCCTCCCCGTGTTAGTGCTCTGAGAGTTTATTCTGGGAACTCATTAGTTGTTTGGGTTACAGGAAGGGCATGAATCAGGCTGAAACGTAACCATGCCAGTGAGATTGTGGAGCCTGACCAAAGAACAGTAAACTCTTCTCTGATGGGCATCACTGTCCTGATGCCAATGTTCAAAACAATCAGTACTTTACATTATACTTATATAGCTGCTTTACAGTTTGCAAAAGTCTCTCCCACATACAATCTCACTCCATCTTTGGTTGAACTTATCTGTGTTGCACTGATCCATTTGGTCCTACTTTTGGGTACCATCCGCTAAGAGACAGACATTAGATTCAGTGATTGCTGGTAATATTTTTATCAACATTGGGTTTTGTGGCCAGATAACATATCCAGCCAGCTCTGTCACATAACACCTAGAATTCTCCTCTGGACTTGTTTATATGTGCCAGCTCCTTGAGGACATGTGCCATGTATATATTGGAGGCTTAGGCTGTGCTGTGTTGTTAGATGTCCCTCATGCTGGGGAGCATCCCATGGGACTTCTAGGAACTAGGAAGCTACAGCCTGCCTCCCCTCTCACTTCCTTTTGTTCTGAACTCCTGGACAAGAACTGCTTTATCTAGACCAACTGCATGCACTAAGCAGAATACTTTTATTCTAGGGACATATTTACTAAATAAATGCTGGTGTATAAGCCAACTGATGGATTGAGTGAACACCCTGGTATAAAAGTGATTTTTAAATGTGTGAGCAGATAACGATGCACGTGAAATAAAACCGTGACTGCTGAGTTGATGGGGTGTGAATGAATACAGCTGCTTTCCACGTGGGACAGTTCCAAGAATGCAGTCACTGCTCTTATCAGCATCCCCTGCACGCTGTGAAAATTAGTCATAATAGAAATTCTGAGCAATGTACACAACTATTATCAGGCAAGAGCATTAAGCAGTTCAACCTGACTGAGATGGTGCTATTTTCATGCAAGCATAATATTTTATTTCTTTAGTGCCAGAGTCTAGAGTTCTTTTAAATAGTGACAGTTAAGGGAGGGGAGGCAAAGTGCTATGAGTGGCAGCCCACTGGGTCTAACCCTGAGGTGACCACCGTGTTAGAGGATAATTCTCTACACTGAGCATTGATTGACCTTGAACTAGGCATCCAGCAAGCACACTGGTCATCACCATTCCTGGACCCTTTTTCAAGATCCCCTAACTAAATGAGTGAAGTTAACTCAAAAGAAATTATGATTTCAAATGGAAAGAGAAACTCAGCACTTTTGTATTTTTTCCCCATGTAATCTACAAAACAACTTAAAGCTTGATCACTTCTTATCTGCTGGGGTTCTCTTAAGCCTTTTACTACCCAGTGGGAACTGAAGTCCTAAAAAACGTCAGCAGCTTCAGAACTGGGACTGTATTGCGAGGATGACCTGCACTATTAATAATTGTGGCGTGATATTAGATATTACAGACAGATAGATATTGGGGGGTGTTGAGCGAGCTGGAAAACCTTGGGAGAATAAAGGCAGAAAAGATCCATTGAAGACAGAAAGCTCAGAGAGGAGAGTCTGCACTCAAAGCAAACTTGCCATTTCAAGACATTGCCCGGTCCTGCTTAGCTTTCATCAGCCTGGGACAAATCAGAGTGCACAGAAGTATACTAAGTGCACAGTAAGGCCAAGGAGGCTCACACTGCAGCGGGAAATAGATATAGGATAAATTTTTTGGCAGAGAGCTTCCAATGAGATCAATTTTCTCTGAGATAAAAGCCACGCTTTCTATCAATTTTTTTCACCCACAAAGTCTTTCCTCTGTGTGCTCAGGAACAGTTAAAATCTGGGACTTTGGCAGCGGGCAGGAGATTAAAATACTGCCCGAAGGGAAGGACTGGAAGGAGGAAGAGCACTGGATAAAACGGCTCATTTTTCTGAAAGTGCCAGAAAAACACCAGCATTTGCTTCTTGCCTTGGATCACAGCGGGAAGATCAAAATGATGCAGGTTTGCAGTTTCGTATTGATGTTTATACTTGCCCTGCTCTTCTTGGGAAAATCCCACTGAGTCAGCGGATCATCCCCATTGAACTCCTCTCTTGCCAGCCAGCTGAGGGTGGTATCTCTCCACCAACCTTCCTAGGATGCTCCTAAGTAACCTTGCCCGGGCCCTGCCCATCCGGCGTTTGCTGTAGGATTTCAGGAGCGGGAATCAGAAAGGTTAAATTTACACATAGTTGGGGGACATTCCCTGGCAGAGCTGCTCCCCCACTGGCTCTGTGAGAGGGAGCGATGACTCCTGTCTGTCCCTTAGAATCCATAATGCATTCAGGGATGCTCAAGACACTTTTTCAGATTGTCACCAGAATCACTTTGTTTACTTTTAAGGTTCATGTCTGTTCTGGGTTGTGTTGGGAAGTTTGAGATAGGCTAATTTATTTTCCCTGTGAGTCTATTACTACCTAAGAATGCCTTCTTCATATTTAAAATGAAGGCCAGATCATTTACGCTGCCTATTGAGTGAATCTTTCCCTACCTAGAACTCAAGGGTTCATTATTATTTATCATCATCATCATCATCATCATCATCATCACTCTTCCCCTTCTGAAAGCTAAGATCAGAAAAAAGAAATCCAGCACTGATTAAGATGACTGATGGACCTACTGCTGGAAAAAAGTGATTCAGTATAATCTTCCCATGAAGAAACATAAGACACCTCCTGTAAGGTTTACAGTAGCAAATGTATGGGGCAGGAATGTAGTTCATTCCTGGAGCTGAAGCTGGGGGTGGAGGGGAGGAAAGATGCGCCAAACCTCCATCCCAGACTCTCAGCTGCATTAACCAAACAGCAAACAGACAAACAGCAAACAGACAAACAGCAAACACTGCCTCCCTAGTCACATTCAGCCATTCAGAGACCGTTGCTAATGCATTATGTACTAAGGCAGAATCCCTTGAGTTTTATGTACTTCTTTTTAATGTCTTCAAACCAGTCCTTAATGGCTTGAAATATAATGTCTCTTCTGCACCCATATTCTGATTTTATCTTCTCAAGCCTCAGAAAAGTGCTAGGTTTCCTGGGTGTGGTCTCATAGCCATGTAATGGGAGGGCCTGTTAGTACAACTTCATAAAAACCAAGAGAAGGAAACAATCATGTTTTCATGACCTCAGCTTTAAGAAGATAAGATTGCATTCTGCCTACATAATTTTTTGTTTAATTTGGGATAAATTGCCCCCAAACCCTAGTTGATAAAAACCATAGGCCGGTGAGAGATTGCTGTCCTTACGTGATGAACAAAGCACTGTGGGAGTTCATAGATTTTGATTAAACAGTTAAAAAAAACCAAAACAGTTCAAATTCTAAAGACCCACTTACTGCTCTTTATTTGCCCTTCCTTCCATCCACATTACTTTATGAGTTTACTCATGTAGCCCTATTTGTAAGTCCCTTAAAGCAAAAGATCTTTCTTTGTAGAACAACTAATATAAGACCTGCTCTTAGCATTATGTGAACGGCTGTTTCCCAGAGCACCGATTCCTAAAGGCCTACCTGCCAACGCAAGTCAGAGTAAATGAAGAAAATAGGGATACTATTTTCATAAAGCTAATTTGACTTTTTAAATTTTAAGATTGTATCTTTCCTACTTTTACTCTTCTGTGTTCAAATATAGCCTTTCTTTTTATAAAATGATGATAGTAGTGATTCTGGTCCCTTTCTTTCCCATGTCCCCTCTTGGTAAAATTAAATCTTAGTAACTGTGAGTCAGTATTTCAATTTTTAAAATTTTTTACTGCTCAGTAAATTCAGAAATTCTGAGAGTCACTGTCCTACGTGGTTCAGATGAAACCAGCTAACTGTTAAAACCACTGTAGTCAGCTCATCATCAAAGGGAGCATGAATCTAACAGAGCTGTCGCTGAAGTTGTCAATGTCTGCTCACTGTTTGGATATGGCTGCAATTCCTTCAATGGCACAAACTCTAACCAAAAAATCAACTGGTAGGCAGAAGTACCATTAGCCCATACTTCTAAATTAGCATAAATACAAAAAAACAGAGATGTTAGATCACCCAGAAACAAAAAGCTTTTAAAAAAATGAAAGGACTTTTGTCTGTCAACTAGCTGCAAGCCTCATCTTACAAATTAGGAAAATAGGCCCTAAGAAGATATGTATTTGCCTCAACCTCTCACTAGCACTAGACTAGGAATTTATTGTCTTCATGCTTAGACCAGTATTCTCTCCACTTTACTGTAGCTGCTTTCGACCTCAAAATGTCTCATAAACACATTTTTTTGAAAAGCTCAACTCACTAATTCAGAAAATGTGATTAATATTATTAATAAATTTTAAAATTAATTTTTAAATGTACCATTTCAAACTCATCAGATAGGCAAAAAAAAAAAAAATTGTTTTAATCAAGTAAAACCAAGTGTTGGCAAGAATGAGAAGAAAGGAGAAGCCTTATCTACTCCAGGTGAGATTGAAAATAGATGACACTCCTTGAAGGGTCACTTGGCAATACTGTGCATATCTTACAACTTGATAATTCCACACGAGGCATTGCTCTAGAAGCTATAGCAATTGTCCATAGAAACGAGCAGCAAAAATTTGACAACAACCTGAACGTTCATCACTAAGAGACTGGATAAATAAATTGTAGTATATTCATACAATGCCATAAAGCAGTTAAAAATAAATGAACTAGAGCTCTATGTAATAACTTGTATAAATCTCAAAAATAAAATTTTAAGTGAAACAAGCAAATTGAAGAAGAATCTATACAATTTGATAACATTTATAAAAAAGTTAAGCCCAGCTGGGTGTGTCTCAGCTGTTGAGCATCGACCTAGGACTAGGATCCAGGAGATCGCTGTTTGATTCCTGATCAGGGCACATGCCCGGTTGGGGGCTCCATCCCCATTAGGGGGTATGCAGGAGGCAGCCAATCAATGACTCTCTCATCATTGATGTTTCTCTCTCTCTCTCCCCCTCTCCCTTCCTCTCTCTGAAATCAATAAAGACATATTTAAAAAAAAAAAGATTAAAAACCTGAAAACAATATATATATGTACACATATATAACATAATATATGTTTATGTTTGGGTAGAAATATTAAAATTTTCATAACAGCATACTCAGATTACTAGTTACTTCTGGAGAGGGAAGAAAAAAGAGAAATTATATTAGGGAGGGATGGAGAGAACTTAAGATTTGACAAAACTGGGTGGGAGATACATCATGGTATGTTCTGGTTTTCTCTATATTCTTACAATGACTCAAATAAAATAGTTAATTGAGATTTTCATCTACTCACTGGATTTCTATTAAAGGGTAAAGAAAATGATATTTGTCTCGCGGTGATATGGGAGCTGCCTGATGTTGTACCTGTCCTCCAAGATGGTAATCATATCGTGCGCCTGAAGGCATCTACTAAAGATAGGGGCGTAACTATGCCTTTTCCAGATGTTACACTGATAGCTGAGAAAACCTTTCCTCAACATGCTAATGTAAGTTTCATTTCTTCGCTTTCTTCCTTTTTATTGGGGAACACTACAAACCCATACATAAATAGAGAAAATAATGCAGTGAATTATAATGCACTATCACCTCACTTCAGCTATAAAATAAAAAGTCATGGGGATGTAATGTACAGCACAGGCAATATAGTGAATAACATCATAATAACTGTGCATGACCAATGGATTTTATACATGTCGAATCACTATGCTGTACACTGTAAATATAATATCGTATGCCAACTATACATCAGTTAACTTTTTTGAAAAATCATAAGATATTTTAAGTTGATGATAGGATAACAAAGTATACACATAGCGTTTGTACTGTGGTTTAGATACTATGCTTATCACAGTCAGTGAGTTGGTTTCCTTTCTTCTTTAGAATCCAGCAGTTAATACAGAAGTGAACTGCATAGATTTATTACAAGTAGACGGATATAATTTGATAGTTGCCGGAACCTTAAATGGTGTGATCATCTTATGGAATTTTGTAACATCCACTGTCAAAGAATTGTAAGTCGCATCTTTTCCTGAAACAATATCATTTGTACTACAGAAGAGCCAAAGTAACATCCAATACCAAAATAAACAAACCACCAAAAGTAATAAATAAAAGTGGTAGTTACTCTCAAGGGGGTTTTCCTGGGGTTATGATCATAAGGAGACTATGTTCTAAGTGCCTAAATCCCACAATAATATAAATAAGATGAGCCTTAAGTGTTTGTATTCTTGAGTGCTTTGACTTTTACTCTGCTCATCCTAAAACCTGCTTTCATGTGTGATCTTGTCCAAATTCATAACCTCAACAAATACTTAAAATACACACTAATTTTAAACTCTGAGCTTCAAACATACATATCTGGCAATTACCAAGTCCCTTCAAGCCTCACCTGCCCCAAACTTTGCTCCAAACTACCCCTCCTCCAAACAGGTCCTCTTCCTGTATTCCCAGTGACACCATCTACTAAGTCACCAAAGCCCAATGGTGAGAGGCGTTCTAGATGGATGTCCCTTCTCATTCACCACCCCAACACATCTAATTCATTACAGGTCAGTGCTAACGAGGGCATGGCATATGCAATCCTAAATCTCAACCAATCAGATTTTCTTCGTACCTCGGCCAAAAACTTGACCCTCTCCCTGCCATCCATTTCTGAAGGTTCTCGCCATTGGTTGTAAAGGAAATGATGTAACACTGTATTATTTGCTACAGATGGATTGCAAATAATAACCAATCTGCAGTTATGCCATTAGTCTAGAAAGCAAGGCCATGTGTGAGCACCATAGGTCAAAGGAGTTTGTAAGATTGTACTGTGAGATACTCGGTGGTTGAGAACTTTGATGAATGAATCACCATAAAGTCAAGTTTATCTAAGCATTTGGGGGAAGGGAAGAGGTATAAAGGAGGGAAAAAGAGAGTGGGAAGGGACAAGGGACAAGAAGAAGAAAATGCAAAAAAGTCTCTGCCTTTATGTCACAGCGCCTTACATACTACTGGTCTACCCGGACTCCGTCCCCTTTCCAACCTAAGCCTGAGTCATTACTTTTAATCAGTTTTTGAGAGGACATGCATTGTTCTCGTTTAGACCCTGGATTCTCCTTTGACCCTTTAGCCAAAGTAGATGTTTCTGCAACTCCCTCCCTCTGTGCCACAGCCCCTGTTCTCTTGGCCCCTGCCCCTAGTGTTCCTGTCACCCCGCTGCTCCGTGTCTTCAACCCTCTTCCGTAGGCTTTTCCCACAGACTGCAGGCTTGTCATTTGAACAGGCACTGTACAACTTCTCACCCTTTCGTTAATATGGTTCTCACACTCTAAGTGGCAGCTTGTGCGTGACTCACTGCCAAGGGAAATCAGATAGACAAGGAAGGCAAAGACTGTAGTCCTGATGGCACACCCTAAAGAGGTGGGAGCCACCCTGAGGACATGTCCAGCTTAAAGGTGGAGAGCCTTCCTGCTGAAGTGCTAGGCATTTGCCATGGGGTCCATGCAAATTCAACATCTAATCGGCGAGAAATTACTAACTATAGTGTTTCCTACACAGTGCCCCCTTCTTAGAAAAAGATGATTACATAAAACCAATTGATTTAGAATCACTGGAATATTTTTATAATTTATATAATTTATACAGAAATGTCTAATGTGATTTAGGCCTAACTTTAAAGGCTCTAACATGAAAGATGTTTCCACATTCATGGTGGAGGCTGTCTCTACCTCTACCTCAAACTTTGCCTAAGATCCCTTCACCAGTCAGGAGAAATAGCTCTTCTCTTCCTGTTCAAAGCTCTTTGGGGACCAAACTAGAAATCGTTCTTGCCAGTTAATAATCCATTGCACCATTCAGCTAATCTGCAGAGCAGAAATATGTAGAGTTTGAGCTTAACATGCCATCAAGCCCACAAGCTCCTCTTTTGAGCTTGGTTCAACCCCACCAAAAGGTTCCTTCATCACTCAACAGATCCAATTAGCAGAGGCAATTTCCACTAAAGGAAAAGCAATATTTTGCTACAAGGTTTGTTTGCTGTAAGGAATGTTAAGTGTGACTTTAAGAGCTGAGCATGAAGTGCCAGTGCAGGCGAGCAGGGATTATCACTGTGCTCCCAGGAAACTGCCTAGGAAGGCATTCAGGTCTTTGGAATTTGGGTCAATGGGAGACTCTGAGTAGTAGAATCACTGAATTAGCTGCTTGTCTTCTCCACTCAGTTCTAAGTTCCTCGATGGCAGTAAGTACATTTTGTTCAAATTTGTCACTCTGCCTATTCAAAGAGTAGAATTCTATTCTTTAAACTGTATGAAAGATCTAGGAGGTTATATAAGGCAACTCTGACCTATAATTAGGAAGACTAGACCAGCTAGTTGAATTGAAAGACTTTTAAACACTAAATGATCATGCTGTTATACAGAGCCTTATTAAGAAAGGTATGTTCAAGCTCTACACCTCTGACTTTTCTCTTCACGTTTGATCATATCAACATTTTAAGAGTGGATTAGCTCTGCACGAGATATGTAATATATGTAACATAAATTACCTAATTTTTAAATGTTTATCATGGACATGTATGTTTCGTTCCAGATACAGACCTGAAGATTGCTTCACTGTAAATCCTGACTTGGATCCCAAACGCTTTAGAATTAATGACATCCTGTTTCTCCTCCGTCCCCCTGAGTGTGCAAGGTAACTGGGTACTAACTGATCGAGATAGACTGTGTGGGTCTTACTTGGGTGATATAAAAAGAGTCCTCCCCATCGCAGCCTTAAGGAAGGTACAGTTGAGGGAAGATAAATTGGGTAGACTGCATGGTTTCAGCTTTCTTCCCTGTCACTGTCTTTTGTAGGGAGTGGTCCCCAGGGATCTAATTTGCTGTGTGGGAATTGAATTTCCCTGACTCTGTCAGACTCACAGCGCCCTTTGCAACAGTAGCAAAGAGGGAAAATGCTCCCTTGACCACACCTGTGGCCAAAGTCAAACTCTGTGAGCACGGATGTGAAGCAGACGGACTTGCAAGGCCAATATGGCAGACCAGACGGCAGCAGGTCTCATATGCCATCCACTAAAACTGAGTAATCGCCATCCATTTCTGAGAGAGCAGGAGATCGTTATTTAAATATTTAAGAGAAGGTATTTTTTTCTCTTTATATTTGCTTGTGAGCTCTGATTTTCCATCAGTACGCCATGGTCAACACATCTCTGGAGAGAAGTCAAAAGCTTCCTGCCCAGCTGGTGTGGCTCAGTGGCTGGGCGTAGACCTATGAACCAAGAGGTCAGGGTTCGATTCCCAGTCAGGGCACATGCCCGGGTAGGAGGTGTGCAGGAGGCAGCTGATCAGTGTTTCTCCCTCTCTATCCCTCTCCCTTCCTGTGTCTAAAATCAATAATTTTATTTATTTATTTATTTACTTATTTATTTAAAGAAAAAGCTTCTGTGCTAGTTTTGGGTCACCCAGCAGTGAGCCAGAGTATAACACCTTCTCTAGCCTTTGGCTTCAAATGCCCCTATTATGAGAATATTTTGAGGCCTTGTTTTGAATATGCTTGACCAGAACCCCAAGGCACTTTTCAGCCCATTCCAGCAGAGTGGACCAGCCAGGACTGGAAACTGTCGAGCAGAAGTTAGCCAGGCTACTCAGACGCCCCTACCACCCCCATCACCCCTCCTCCCCACTCCTACCAGGGTCAGAGCCTCTGGGACTGCATCTAGCCTCAGCCGCTGGACAGGGCTGATTTTTAGTTCCCAGACCAGGCAGCAATGAGCCTTAATTCCTGAGGCTCCCCAACAGCCTCCCCCAACACCAGCCAGATGAGCATTGGTTACACAAGATACGGGGTTATACTTTGTTTTATAAACGAGTGGCTCAGTATCTGCAGAGACTGGAAGAAGGAACCAACTGAATTAAGAGCGGAGAAGAGCACCCTTTGAGGATGAAAGAATCTTAACTTTTCCTCTTTGGGCTTCCTCCCTGTCCTTGCAGGAGGTCAAGTCAGGATTCCGTCTGCTCTTCGTCGCAGTGTGACTCTAGTAAGGGTCCCCAGAGCAGCAAGGTAAGCAAGAAACAGGGAGAGCACGTCTTCCCCACACGCCCAGGGCTGGCTCAAACATCGTGGTTTGTTGCACTTCAGCCCTTCCTTTGATAGGACTTAAAGGGGAACTTTTTCCTATGTGTAAGTGTGTATGGATGTCAAACATTTTTTTGCTTAAAAAGCATTGTCTAGCCCAGCCGGGTGTGGCTCGGTGGTTGAGCATCAACCTAGGACCCAGGAGATCGGGGCTCGAGTCCCGGTCAGGGCACAGGCCCGGGTTGCGGGCTCCATCCCCAGTCGGGAGCGTGCAGGAGGCAGCCGATCAATGACTCTCATTGTTGATGTTTCTCTCTCTCCCTCCCTCTGCCTTCCTCTCCCTGAAATCAATAAAGATATATATATATATTTTTAAAAACAGCATTGTCTAAACTGTTTTCACCCTTTTTTCCCTATTTTTGAAGGCTTCCATAACTTCAAATAATTAATACAGAATCGCAAATAAAATAAATGAACTATGCTACTTTTACGTTTGTAAAATCAAGTAATTTTAGAGTACCTGTTCTGCTAAAAGTATCCCACACATTTCCCAGCGGGGAGAGGCAACACAATGTAATGTGTGGTTTTCAAATTGTGTTTTCAGTTACAGTTTTGCATATTTTTACACATGATACTTCTAGTTAGGGTTTTGTTTAAAGGGAAGTTTTCAGTATAAAAACTATTTTAAAACCACTGGCCTGGTGGAAAGAGCAAGCTTATACAAACGTTGGGAGTCAGATGGACTTGAACTTGAGGATCCGATCCAAGTGCTCCATTTATCTGATTAGCTTTAGAGACAGCTCGTAATCTCTGAGTTTCCATTTCTTCATCAGGGGAAAATGACCAACTTGCATGGCCGTTAATAGAATTTGAAATAACACCAAGAACGTGACATGCGGTGGGCATTTAATTACTCTCATTATTACTCTCAGCCATGGGAAAATGTCATATTACAGGTACCCAACGTACAAACATGAAAATCTCTGCAATGAGTATTTCAAAGAATTAATTCAAAAATAACTTTAATGCTTAGGATGTACTAACTATCTGAAGGATCTATTGATCCAGTAGATTTCACTCCCTTACGATGTGAATGTCATAGAAATATCTTTTTTCTACCCTAATCCAGGGAAGCAAACAGAGCATACATGACGGTGACAGTAAAGGTCAGTATGAAGTCACCTCTCTTCTTTATACCAAACGATTCCTTTGCAATAGGGAGCTTAGGTGACAGAATACTCTTAATGAATATATAGTCTTTGTGTGACTAAGTGTTGGGGAGCTGTAGGATTCAGCTCCGAAGAGGCGGAATTTCCATTACGATCATGCCCTTTGAAATGCTAATTCTAGATTTTAAAAATCCAAACTATTACCAAGGCTCTTAATCTCCATCTCATTTTTCTAAAACCTCCTAGATTCATAAGCCATTCTGTATGTGGAACACTTAAGCTGGATGTTTATATAGTTTTAGCTATTAGGTACAGTGAAGGGGCTTTGCAATAGGGCCAAAAATAAGCTCTTTAGGTTTTTCCAGCAGTATGGAATTCCATTTGGCAATGCTTGTGTTATCCTCTGTCCTGGTGGAAATTCTCTTGGGTTAAAAAAAAAATCTAGGAGAAAGAATGTGTTGTTTGTGGTATTTCCTACCTGCCTCCTCTGTTGCGTCCTATAAAATTTTGAATTCCAAATATAGCAAACACTGTGGCAGCTCATTAATTTCTCAATAGATGAGCCAACAGATATCACCATGGGAGAGCAACCAGTGGAGAAAAAACATGTTGGAGGCACCGGTGCTACGGAGGCTCAGCTACCTCTGCTGGTCACTGCTCACGAGGATGGACACCTCCGCTTATGGACTATAGAGGTGATGAGGCCTGTTATTTACCTGGAATAGCAAAGGATAAGAGAGGCAAAAGGATTACTAAATGCACCTTAGCCTCCCAAGCTTCCATAGAGCATCCGATTTTAGTATTTTTAACCTCCTAGCCGAGTTACTGGTTTTGCTGCCTGCTCACTGAACATGCTACTCAAACTTTACAACAGGCCCGCTTTGTAACTCGAGATCAAATCATCAAAAGTGCCAAGTTAACTGTTTCACATCTATCTTTTCTTTAAATTGAGCTATGAGTACATGCCGCTGAATATCAGAGGATGTTAATGATGTATTATAGTAAAGTAATATAAGAATACTCAAATGTTGAGTATCCATAATTTTTTAGTTATCCAAACTATTAGAAGAAGCCATTACATTGTATTGGGTGTCCTTAAACATTTCATAATGAAAAATACATATAACTTTTACTACTAGAAGCTTTTAAATAACTTGGGGTGGAAGGTAGGCGAAGTTTGAGCTTGGAGGACAGAAGATGATGGAAGGAAAGATCTTGAGTAGACTGGTGATGATGATAGTGAAGTCCATAGAGAGGGAAGAGAGGACGTACCACTCATAGGCTCCTTTCTAGATGGAAACCCAGAAGAAAGCAACAGTTTTGTGTGACATGTAGTGGAGTCCAACAACAAAGAGCAGCATCGCTGTGCTGGATAAAACCTCTAAGTCCGTGGATTTTAGCTTATTAGAGGAAACTCTTGGGTTGAAGACAAAGTATTGTGACAATAACTTTCCCTGAGATGATCTTGGCATTGGAGCAATGCGTTGTTGTTTTTTTCTGATAGAGAAATAAGTGAGTGAGAGAATTAGGAGGGGAAAAGATTACATCCAAACAATCTCAGGAAATGAGCAACAGACTCAAGTTCTTTTTTCTCCAGCTGGGATGCTCCTTCTAAGTGAGGCAATGCATGTGGACACTCTTCCCAATGTTGACATACTAAGTGCTAAAAACAGGCTGCTGAATTTGAATCTCTTACAATCTCTCATCTTGCCCTGATATTCAAAAATAGATATTTCTAAAAGGGCAGCTACAATATTCCTGTTTAAAGCAAGTGAGATACACTTAAACCTGAAAAAGAATGATTGTTTAAAAGAACGTATAACTGGAAAAGAGGTCTGAGGAATTGCATGGAAAGGGGCATGCAAAGTCCTGAAAACAACCCCCAAGTGTAGAAATGATCGATGATAATCAGAGTCCAGATGGTAATCATTCATAGTTGTCTACATCTTTATGAATATTTAATTTCAAGAAAATGAGTTCCTATGGATAATTTCAAATTGCTTTTATTACAAATAGACTTGTGTTTCAGTAATAGACATAATTCTTTAGATAGATTACTTACCGAGAAACTCCACCCCAGTATGAACTTTTTATAGAATTTGTTATTATACCTCATGCAGGGAAGACTACTGAAAGATATGCTACCATTTACCAAACACTCTGCCATTTCTCTGACATGCCTGTATACTGATTCCTGTGCCAGGATACTACTGACTGGCAATGTAGGTAAGTCATTATTACCCTTATGTAGTCAGCCACAGGTATCTCAACCTACAAGATATAAAAAGGAAAATATGTGGCATGTGTTGGTTCAAAAGTGTAAGAGGGGTGCTCAAATGAGAGTGTTGAGGGTGCTGTGGCTGGCTTGCTGAATGACTAGAACAATGAATGTCCATGAGTTTGCCTGCTCTCTACCTATGAGTCTGTCTCTATATTTAAGGTTATCTTTATTTTATCTGATTTTGTTGCCCTTTATTTCTCCTTCACTTTTGAAGGATAATTTCTAAGGATACAGAATTCTGGGTTGGTGGGTTTTTTTTTCTTAACACTTTAAATATTTCACTCCATTCTCTTCTTGCTTACATGGTTTCTGAGATGTCAGATGTCACTCTTATCTTTGCTTCTCTGTAAGTAAGGTGAATTTTTCCCCTCTGTTTTCTTCCAAGATTTTTTTCTTTATCTTTGACGTTCTGCAGTTTGAATATGATACACCCAGGGGTAGTCACTGTTGCCTTTAAAAGTCTAGTTGTCGTAACTACCCTTTGGATTGTAGAAAGATTATTTCCATAATAGTTTGAACTCCCTTTGGTCATGATGTATTCATTCCTATTTCATCTACACTGATGTCTTAGAAGAACTCTCACTTAGATTGTATAAGGCAACCTCATTATGACTTATTAAGTCAGAAACAAAAAAGAATCCTACACATAAAAATTGATACGAAATTTCTTCTTTCATTTCTGGTTTCTCAGATTCTGCTTTATTTACCATTATAAATGCCTGAGTCAAAATATCTTGGCAGTCTAGGTAGCATTTACTTAGACAACAGAATGCCCGATTAAATGTTGCGATGTTTAAATTTTATACAGAAGGGCATGTTATCCTTTGCAGTATTGGCTCCTTCCTGGATCCACCTCATGATGAAAAGGTAAGAACTTTAGTCTTAGTTTAATTTGTGAATCAGCACATATTTATTGAGCATTTCTCTGTGCTAGACATCACGAAAGATCTACAAGCCAAGACTCCCTACCCCTCCTTCTACTACTACTACTGAAACTTAAGCTATATGACAAATAACAATGGTCCACTAGTGAAAAGAAGGGATGAGTGAGTGAGTGAGCGAGCCAGCCCCTGGTCGCTTTGCACCTACTTCATCTTTTGACTTATTTGTGAGAATCTATGCAGAAACCCAGAGCTTAAAAGAGTTTATACATCATCTAGTCCTCCACAGTCAGCTTTTATATCTTATATATCTTCATAGAAGAAAATTCCATAACCTTTCCTTGCAAGCCTAACCTCATGTCCAACCATTATTATTTTTAGGAAACTCTCATATCTAGTCTAAATCCCTCTTGTAATTCAAACATACATGTCCTAGTTTTTGTGTTAATGTAGTGTAAATGTCACCATCTTGTTTTATAACCATAAAATAAGCACTTCTTCTGTGTACATGGGTATACAAATATATACATTTATTATAAAGACTCAACACTAATTCAAGAGTATAGCAGGAAACACTATTTTAGCATAGGTTTGTTTCCCTTTAAGCTAATACTTCATATCCAAAAGCTAAACATGAACTTAAATAGAAATGCTTTATTTTTGGATTATAGGTATTAGCATATGGATTAGGATTGGATTTCTTACAGAACATTTTAAAGCGGTTATTGTCTCAAACATTATTTCATTTTATCTATGGAGTTTTTTTGGTTTCCAAGAATCTATTGTTGTCTTTATAAAATTCAGCTATTTAGCATTAATGTGATTATGTTTACTTTGCAGAGAGCAGATCAGAGAGTGGCTTGCCTAAAATGACATAGACAGTTAATGATGAGGTCAAGGTCAGAAACGGGGTTCTCGCTCTCTAACCCAATGCTCTTTCCAAATATAGCTCATAGTGGTCTCAAATGGAAAACTATAAGGTTCAGCTTATGAAGCACAACATTTCAGTTATTCAACAGCTATAAATGTCCTGTAATCAAGTATGCTGTCAGCCAAACAAAAACAATATGCTTGAACCGTGTATAGGTAGAATATTATCCAATTGTTTTCTCCTATTTGGTATGATTATCAATATTCTATTATTAATTTTAACACAAGTCATTTTTTGTAAATGGCTTTCTACCAACTGGCAACCAAGACCTTTCAAAATTCAGACAAAGTATTTAAAACAAAGTTATACGCTCCTAATGAATTAGAAGAATAGTGGAATTGATTTGAAAGCATTTTTCAGCAATTGAAAAAAGGTAATATGCCCACACCATTCACTCATGAGCTGGGCTCTTTAATGATTAACGTTTCGCTCAAGATTGAATTTTGATCAGCACATACTTATTCCAAGGTACATGCTTTATTTTTACCATCTAGAAATTCAGGCAGCTGCTTGCCTGGCGTGCTCATGCTTTAGAAATTCTCCAAGCAATCTATGTAGAAGAAAAGCAAGTGGTGCTCACTGCCTCCGTCGATGGCTCAGTAAGGTATGGACTTTCACACTGAATTCAGGGCTTTGAGCATGCGAGGAAGGCTATATTAACCTAAAGTTTTAGTGCACACCCTAAATGCAATCTTAACTGACTAAAATAAATAAACCAACAAATGAAAGTGGCACAAAACAACTTTGAGAAGACGGCCATTGATTTGGAACTCTTTCCCATGCCTAAGGAAATGAGATGCCATGCTCATCTATGTTACAATGTAGAAAAAATGCTCTAAATAAGTGCTTTTTGTAGACTTCTTTCAAAGAACTAAGCCAGGTGGATAGCTCAGAGAGATGAGCCCAGGGAAGACCACAGAAAGAGGCACAGAAGTCATAAAAAAGTCATAAAAGAGAAGAACTAATATTGAGAAAAGTGCAAGCGAGCTCATTGTTTCAGTGACAATGTGATTGATTTTGCAAAACCTACCTTTTTTTTTTTTTCTTTCACGGCTGCCTCACCTGATTCAAAAGGGTTGGCACAGTGCTGGAAAGGGGCAAACTGAGATGACTTACACCAGGACTTCGGTCAAGTACATCCTTTAGAGAACCTCTCTTCAGAATTAGCTTTTATTTTTTAATTAAGGTATAATTTATATATAACATTAGTTATAGGTATACAGCATAATGATTCAATTTTTGTACATATTACAAAATGATCACCACAATAAGTCTAGTTAACATCAAGTCTACTTAACATCCACCACCACACATAGTTATAAATTTTTTTCTCTTGTGATGAGGACTTTGAAATTCTGTTTTCTTAGCAACTTTCAAATATGCAATATAGTATATTAACTATAGTCACCATGACGTACAAAGCCTACTTGTTTTTAATTGCCTAGATAATGCTAAATATACATACATAAAATGCTAAAAACACAAATATGTATGAATAGAAAAGAAATGCCATGACATTTATTCAGACAAATTGTTGCTTATTAAAAAATGTGCCATTCATTGAGAGAGGAGTCACTAAAAGAGGAAAATATTTAAAATGTGTAAAGATGAAGGAGAACTTTTAGAAATGTTGAGTTCAAGGTCGGGGGAAGGTCCTGTTCAGGGGCAAACAGCTGCTTCTTCAGTCAGAAGGGAGATCTGCTGTTTTATTCATAGGGAAAATTAAGAATATGACATTACATCATTATAGATGTTTTTTACAATTCTGTCCCTCGGGTCTCTGCTCCGGCTTATTTTCAGCTGCCTGACATCAGATGTGTTAATTGGGGATTGTAATGCACACACATACACACATACACACATGCACACACACCACATGTGTGCGCACCTCTGTTGTTACAAGAAGTCCCTGCTCAAACCAAGCAGCCTTGACATGGACAAATTACTTTTATGATTCCTTCGAGTAAAGATCTTCCCAGATACTCAGTTTTTAAAACCTAGCTCTATTAACAGCTATCTCAGAATACACGCTCTTTATCACTAAGCCACATCCTAAGTCACTTTCTAAAGAAGTAGTTTTAACACTCCAAACTTGTTTGTCAAAAAGATTATAGTTTTATAATAGGAAAAAGCATAACCAAGGCTTACCTCTGGGTCCCAGCATAGAAGGGGCTAAGGATTCACATCTGAGGCCCAGGACATCAGGCTGAGCGGGAGGATCCGTCATCTGGGAGAAACGGAACAGGAACTGCCACAAACACGGAAACCAAAGTTACTTCCATCCTTGCCTACGTAGAACGAATTTAGAGTTGGCATCAATTAGTCCCATGCCTCTAGCTTCTGTGTGGAATCTGCTCTTAGTTCATTTAGTTTATGCTTCTCTTGGGTCATTGCAGCAGGTACATGGTGATTGTTGCTGTGATTTGCTGTTCTGAGGTTGAAATCAAGACAAAAGGAAGATCTTCCAAATACTGTCTTGTCTTCCCATAAGACAGAGGGCACCTGCTCCTGCTAATGACATGTTCAGCCTTTTTCATCTCAGGGCACACATAAACTAATTACTAAAATTCTGTGGCACACCAAAAAATATATTTTTTGCCGATCTGGCAAAAAAACACAAAAAACAGGAATAATTTTGATTCATTTACACTGTATGGCTATTGTTGTGTTGGCGGTTGTCATCTTTTTAATTTGATATCTAGGGAAAAGGAGTCAGTGCCCCTAAGTAGTCAGGTATCGCATGTTTTAAAAATTCTTGCAGCACACTGGTTGAAACTCGCTGCTTTAAATCATTTGAACTGCCTGGCCAGCGTGGCTCAGCGGTTGAGCGTTGGCCTAGGATCCAGGAGATCACAGTTTGATTCCCTGTCAGGGCACATGCCCAGGTTGCGGGCTCGATCCCCAGTCGGGGGCGTGAAGGAGGCAGCTGATCAATGACTCTCTCATCATTGATGTTTCCATCTCCCTCTCCCTCTCCTTTCCCCTCTCTTAAATCAATAAAGATACATTTAATAAATAAATAAATAAATAATGTGAACTATTTAGAGGGACCTTTAGAAATGAATTGATGGTGAAATAATGCATATGGATGAAGAGCCGCCTCTTTTGCGATCCCATTTCAGAACCCAGTTGTAAAATTAGTATGGTGCTTCCACAGTAGTAGGAATCATGGATGGAGGTTGAGAGGATTTTGGTCATAGTAAAAGCATCTGGAGGTATCTCCTCTGGCACGTTCTGTTGATGCTGATTCAGAAAGTAGACAGCTGAGATATCACCCATTCGAAGATCTAATTTAACTAATGCACTGTCCGTCGGTGTGGGTTCCGATTAGCCTAAATGAGCAGTGTTATTTGGGGTGAAATCTGTTTCTTTTTTTCAGCTTTAATGAACGGATATCATAAGTATAGATTCAAACTGACATTTCCCAAAATTGTTGTAGGTTAGAATTCTAACTGATAAAAATGTTCATGTTATGATTAGCTCCATATATTTAATAAGAAGAGTCTTGGGCTCAAGTTTAAAATCCACGATGGACCAGTGAAAATCTGATCAGTGACAAAATAACTTCCACTGATTTCTGGTTACTCTGTCCTCCCTACCTTTTGCCTTTCCTCAGGCTCTGGCATGCCCTCAATGGCCATTACTGTGGATATTTTGGACAGCAAAGATCCTTTGACATCTCACAGACAGGTGATTTCATTTTGCCTTGTGATGTTAATGAGTATCCCATAGAAATAAAAGAAGAAAGCAAGTTCACAGAGCATAAACAAAAATACGAATATCCTCTGATACTTGACCGGCAAAGGTAAGACCATTGGGTTTCCTTTAGAGAGCAGACAAGAATTAAACTCTTATGATACTGTAACTGTGCTGGGAGGGGAGAATTCAAACATGAAAAACTGGAAGCTTTTCAATAATTTTGCAATCCAGCAGAAGAGTACACAAAAATGTCTAATTCAGTATAATAGCACTGCTAAGAATGTCAATTCTTAAGATAATCACAGAGGGGCAAACAGGATTTATCCAAATAAAGAAGACCAAAGAGGCAATTGCCTAAGCAAAGGCACAAAATAAGGAAAGACTATTATATAGTCTTTCAAGGCTCGGAGTTCAGGGAGCAAGTAGGAGGACATTGTAAAAAATAAAACAAGAAAAGTTTATAGAGGCTAAAGCAAGATGAGCTTTTTTATGGGCCAACATAAAAATGTTCAACTTTATCAAAATCACTGTGACAAAATACACAAGAGGAAAAGCAGGTCTGAAGGAAAAGATAGTGTATGTGACTGTCTAACCACTAAGCTGTACACCTGAAACCAACACAAAATAAAATTGAAAGAAAGAAAAAGAAAAAGGCAATGAGTTTGGTTTTGGACAGGTTGAAGTCTGAGATGCTTGTGGGATATTATTTTTTAAATGTTTTTAATGCTTAGTTATGGCTTTTTATTTTTTTAAATGAGTGGAGATATATTATTAAAATATGTTCTTATTGATTTGAGAGAGAGGAAGAGAGAAGGAGAGGGAGAGATAGAAGCATCAATGATGAGAGTCATGGATCGGCTGCCTCCTGCATGCCCCCTGCTGGGGATCAAGTCCACAACCCGGGCATGTGCCCTGACCGGGAATCGAACCATGACCTCCTGGTTCATAGGTTGACTCTCAACTACTGAGCCACACCGGCCTGGCAGTTATGGCTTTTTAAATATACACATCAGTAAGTTTTAACTGCAGCGGAAGCTTCCCCAAGTGACCCAAATACCAAGCATTGGTTTTTGAACCCAAGGTTCCTCATCCCTACTCTACAGTATTTTCTCCAGTGGCTATTAATGAATTTAACTACATGGAATGTTCGGGCCTAGTAGAAATCTCTTTAGTTTACCTGGAGGGAAATCTGGAAAGCCAAGTGAAATAAGACTTAAGTGCAAAGATGGCATCATCAGGCTGATGGCATGGAAGCTGGAGAGTTTGGGGCACAGAGAGAAAAGGTGTGGGTAGGAACTTAACAGTTTTTCTTGTGTCTCTGTATACAGGTGGGATAAAATGAGCTCAATGTCTTTGCTCTTCAAACGTGCACCTACCAAGCCCTTTAAAGTGGAACATGATTTTAAGTTTTTCAAGTCTCTTTCTTCCCCCAAGGTAACTTGAAAAAAAAACAAACACCTGTAAACACTTCACTTTTGTTTTACTGAATTTAGATATGTAGAGTGTGTTAGTCTTCTGCTGCTGTGACAAATTATTACACTCGGTAGTTTAAGCAACACAAATGAATTATTTGACTGTTTGCAGGTCAAAAGTCTGACCTGGGTCTCCTGGGGCTAAAACTAAGGTGCTACCAGACCTGTGCTCCTTTCCTGGAGGCTGCTCTCGGGGAGCATCTCCTATTTCCTAGTTTGTGGCCCCTTCATTCATCTTCAAAGCCAGAAATGTATTATCTTCCTGACCATTCATCTGTGGTCACATGGCCCTGACACAATAGGAAAGGTTTTGTGCTTTGGTAAAATCCTATGGTGAGATCAGGCACACCTGGATGACCCATCTCAAAGTCCTTAACCTCAAAGCCCTTTTTGCCAAGTGAAGCAATATATTTACAAGTTGGTGGTTGGGGGAGTAGGGTGCAGGCATCTTTGGCTGCCATTATTCTGCTCACCAAAAATAAGAAATATTTTTTAAAAGTAATTTAACTGAAACAAGTAAATTTGGGGAAATCTCTAGAAAGATTTTAAAGCTCTTAAAACAAATGTTCCCAAGATTACAAGGCTTGCCCTCTTCTTGCCACACCTTCATTTTCTCAATTGGTTGGTAAAATAACAAAGGTTTAATACTAATGTTGAGTTAAAGTACCTCTCACTTAGGAACCTCTGATTTTTATCAGCGATCTCATTTGCCCATTTCTTTTCATTATCAATTACGTATTATTTCTCTATTTACTTCTTTTTGGCTAATTTATGACATATTATCGTAATAATACAATGATAGTAAATCTTTCATTTTAGTAGTACCTTACTATACACACCATCTCATTTGAACCTCATAAATATTAAACAGGGAAAAACTTGCCTAAGGTCATGCAGTTAGTAAGTTGCATGGTCAGAATTTGAACCCAGGAATTTTGCCATATGTGGGATGTACCCTTTTCATTAAACATTCACTCCTCCGTTTTGCAGATTCGAAAATATTCCTTGGAAGGTTTCATGACTGAAAACAAAGAGGCGGGGATTGTTTTTGGTTCTCTGCCTATATATAGGGTGAGTTGACCATTTCTAGGACTAGAGTGGTTAGGGAACAATAGAGAAGCTCACATGTCATTCCTGACCCCAGGCTATCAAGCCAGGTTGGGAGAAAATTACATAACCAAGTTGACCGATGCTGTGTCCAATCCCAGAGAAGTCTTTGGTTCTGTGTGTCAGTGCCCTTGATCACTGGTCTCTGGCATTCCACATTGAACAACACCACAGAATACTGTTTTGAACTTGACCCTAGCTCTTCATTACCTACAGGATAAAATCCAAATGCTTTTGGCCTGGCATACAAACCTTTCATCACCTGGCCCCTGCCTGAACAGCCTGACCTCATTTCTACCACAATCTCCCATGTACCCTATACTCCAGCCAGGTCAAATGACTTGCCATTCCTTAAGCATCAGTATTTTACCCTCTCCTGTGACTTTGTCTGTGCTGCCCCTCTGCCCAGAATTCATCCATCCTTTGTTTCCCTCCAAATCCTCACTAATCCTTCAAATCTCCATTCCAGATAACCTCTGTCAAATTAAAGAATTAATTAACCAAGAGTAATAAACTGAAGATAACACACTTCAACTTAATCTTATCATTTCTTTTTTTTTTAACCTTTGTTGTGGAAAGTATTACAGATGTCCCCTTTATTCCCCATTGACCCCTTCTACCCCACTCCCACCCGCAGCTCCAGGACCTGGAGACTATTACGCTAAGTGAAATAAGCCAGGCAGAGAAAGACAAATATCCCATGATCTCACTTACATGTGGAATCCAAAGAACAAAATAAACTGATTAACTTATTATTTCTTAAAACATTACTTTTCCTTGCCAAAAACACCTTCACTGTGTGGGTATCAAACGCTTAAGCTACCGATGATGGCAGGGTGAACTATTAAGAATTAATAGTGGCAACTGTGAAGGGGAGTATATTTTAAAGCAGTTGGAACCCCTCCCTCCCTGTCCCCCACCCCTGAATTCACATTTCAGAAGTAGCCACTTTAGTATGTCTTACTCTTTGTTTATGGCTTCCAGGTACCCAGCCCCACTAGTCTAAGGTTCCTCCCACTCATTGGCTCAGAGGTGATAAAGGAGTCTTCAGATGGCATTCCTGGAAGGAAGAAGGGAGGTCATGTTCAACAGGAAAAGGTGAGTCAGTACTTAGAATTCCATGGTGTAGCCCAGCCGGGCGTGGCTCAGCGGTTGAGCTTCGACCTAGGATCCAGGCGATCAGGGTTCGATTCCCAGTCAGGGCACATGCCCCAGTTGCGGGCTCCATCAGTGACTCTCTCACCATTGATGTTTCTCTCTCTCTCTCTCTCCCTCTCCTTTCCTCTCTCTGAAATCAATAAACATATATTAAAAAAAAAAAAAGAAGAATTCCGTGGTGTATCCCATTTCTGTTTGAATTGCTGTGGCCTGCACCTAAACGAGCAACAGGTCACAATGGAGCTACAACAGCAACAACGAGCTGCTTTACTTAATTAATATCGAGAACTTGACCATAATTCTGTTAGCTCGTGCCCTTCGTGAGACTGTGAATGACTTTTGTTATCATCAGTTCTACCAATTATTTGAATAAGAATTTTGGGCAATAGAAGAGTTTTTTTTATAAAAATAGTATCATTTACTTTTCATTTGTTAAGTAATGGCTGAAACACAGTGGTACAAATAATCCCAAGCTAACTGGTAATAAGAGAGTATTTGTTTGGGGTTTTATAATTCCTGTATTTTATGCCCCATATTTGCATTGTTTTACCTCATTTTGGTATTAAATACATAGAAAACTAAAGAAAGAAAGATCAGTGAAGTTAGGAAGTGGCCTCTGCTGTTCAGCAGATAGATCTGGGGAACTAAGCCTCCCACCTTGTCTCCCAGAGAAAGAGGAGCAGTCACGTTGCCTGTGAGTGTCCAACCCTAAGGGATCTTTAGGGGCTTAAATTTTGCCCTTGGGGCTCATTCTGTCTTTTTCTTTACCTTCTAACTCTCTAGATCACCTTTTCCTTTTATCTTCTTTCTCTCCTTTCCCATAATAAGCCATAAAATCAAATTGATGTGTACTGTAAATATTGGCTGAGCATTATTGATAAATCAGACACTTCTTGATCTGAATCTTTAAATCAAATGAGCTTAACATTTTCTATGTATGTCTTCCAAAAACATCCAATTCAAAGCTAACTTTTATTTCTCATTTGTGAGATCATCACTTGATCTTATTTTTCCGTAAGTCACTGGACTTTAATGATATTATTATACAATATCTCTATGCCTTACAACAACCTAGCAAGCTTTGTTTGGTTTTAACCAATTCTTTACAGTTTAGGCAGTTGAATGACAGAATGAATAGCTGCCCAGTCAAGTATTTCTTTTTTCTTTTTTTTAAAAATATATCTTTATTGATTTCAGAGAGGGGAAGAGAGGGAGAGAGAGAGAGAAACATCAGTGATGAGAGTCATTGGTCGGCTGCCTCCTGCACGCCCCCCTCTGGGGATCGAGCCCGAAACCTGGGCATGTGCCCTGACCGGGAATCAAACCTCCATCTCCTGGATCCTAGGTTGACACTCAACCACTGAGCCACACCGGCCATGCCCAGTCAAGTATTTCTAAAGCTTCAGCTCTTCCACCCACGCCCTTCTGGAGCACCACCTCCTGTTTTTAACATATTTTACCCTAGAAGCACACAGGATAGTTAAGTAAATAAGTAGACTTTCTTTCTAAGAGGATTAAAATCTGCAAAAATTAGTGGTGCAACTTGACCCTAGAAAATTATCTTTGTCATGTAAGGCCAGTTATTAACTGACATGTTCTTTATTTCACAGACACAACGGAGGAGAAGTCTGAAAAAACCCTTGGTCCCACATATAAACCTGGCTTCTTTCTTCTTCCCGGCCATCTCCAAATAAGAGAAAAATCAGAGCTGGCTGCCGTGGTCTGAGCTGCACAGGAGATGGCGAGGTCTGAATGATAGGCCAGTTTTTATTTCAGGGTGAAAGCGAGGGGCCACCAGCCCTGTCTCCCGCCTCTGAACCCTCAGGCCAGCTTATCCATAGAGAAATTGCTCATCGAGTTCTGGTGGCCTCAGCTCTGAACAGCAAGCAGCCAGGCGGCCAATTTCTTTCGTACATTGAAATCTACTTAAGGAATAGGCAATGTTTCGTCTTCACTGTCAGCAAAATGACAAACGAAACAAAGGAAATCAATAGCATAAGTAGATCGAAAATAATATGGTTATAATAATTAGCTTTCCACATTCCCCACTGTTCACCCTAATTCATAACCGGACTTACTATCAAAATGTATGCATTAAGAAGCAAATTGCTTGTGTGCCATGCTATGTGGTATACAGAAGAATTAGTATTAAAAAGGAAAATGTACCAGCCAACCTTCCAGCTATTTGTCTTTTTTATTTAGGGAAATGTCATATGGAAGAAAATGTCCAGAGTTTCTTAGGTAAAGTCAGAAGTAGTTTACATTTCGCCCAGAAATGACACAAGACAAATAGAACTTGAATAATTATCTGAACTTCCTAGGGTTTATCACTTATTAATTCTTTTATTAATCGATTTTGTTATTTTGACCAAATGTTTCATTTCACCAATGGTGGAACTCATGTGAAAAATAAAAGCATCTAAATTTGATCAATAATAAATGAGATGTTAAATAAGTCAAAGGCCTGAGGAAAGGATCAGAATTGAAGCCTGCTGATCGGCTGGCCTGGGCCTCTTTGGGAAATGATTCAGAGCTCTGAAGAAGGAAGGCTTTCCTACATCAAGGGTTAACCTCCTTTCCCCGAAGGAGCAGGCCATTTGTTAAAAAACAAAACAAAACAAACAGAAAAAACCAGTGGTCCTTGCGTTTAATTCTGCTTTTCCATTCTGGGAAGGGTTCTATAGTTCTTAAAATCCCAACAACTCTAGAAAACTAAAGACATTCTTTATTCATATAAATTTTGTTTACACACCTCTTTTTATGTTTATTTCTAGGCATGTGCTAATTTTTGTTGTGAAATCACAAGGAATGCAATTTCCCCTACTAATTGCCTTTTACTTTTAATTTCTTCTTCATGTATTTTAATTACACAGGAAGCTAAAGTTCCAAAAGAAAATATTGAACATTAAGGTTATTTTTTTAAATTCATCTTTATTGTTGAAACTATTACAAATGTCCCCTTTTTTCTCCCCTACTGATCCCCTCCACTGGGCATCCTCCCCCCAGGCCTTCCACACTACTGTCTGCAGCTATAGGTGATGCATATATGCATCTAAGTTCTTTGATTAATCTACCCCCCACTCCTTTAATGTTTTTATAATTTGCTTAATTTACTCAAATAAGAGACTTTAGAAAAAACATAGTATAGTTATGGAAAATTAGCACTATCAGTACCTAAGTAAGCCAGAGATTCTTTTTTTTAATTGAAGTATAATTGACATATAACATTATATGTTTCAGGTATAAAATATAATGACTTGATATTAATATATAATGGGACAAGATTATTGCAGTAAGTCTAGTTAACGTCCATTACCACATGGTCAGAAATTTTTTCTTGTGATGAGGACTTTTCAGATCTACTCTCTAAGCAACTTTCAAATACGAAACACAGTATTATTGACTATAGGTGCCATGCTGTACATTACAGCCCAGGGTTTATTTATTTTATAACTGAAGTCTGTACCTTTTGACCCCCCTTCACCCATTTTTGCCCCAGAAGATGCTTTTTTTTTTAAATTCTAAAAGTGATTCCATTTCCTACCTTTCAATCTCAGTTTTAAAGAAGACAATTTTATCCCTAGGCATCGATTTCCTAAAACAAGACAATACTGAATGCCTGCCCATGCACTCAATCCCTTCAATATGGCATTTGAGGTTCTAAGTTATCGTTCACCTCCCTTTTTGACTGAGCAATTCTCTCAAACCTCTTTTAACAAATATACAATTTCTTGATGTTTTAGAATTAAAAAAATTTAGTGATTTTGCATATTATGTAACAGATTTTACATCAGTCAGTATACTGTTAAGAATGGCAGTGTAACTAATTATGTAATTATAAATTTTAGGGATACACATAATATGTAGAAAATTTTGTCTTTTCCTTCATTTGTCGAATGACAGGGTAATTAAATGAATCGTTTAAGAAAATGCCTGCCTAGCTGGCGTGGCTCAGTGATTGAGTGTGAGCCTATGAACCAGGAGGTCATGGTTCGATTCCCTGTCAGGGCACATGCCTGGGTTTTGGGCTTGATCCCCAGTAGGGGGCGCACAGGAGGCAGGGAATGGGATCCAGGCCTCATCGAGGGGTAAGCTGCTCTCACTTTGGGTCGAGGCTCCAAAGCACTGCACCCTAGAAATATGAGTGACACAGAGGTAGATGCATCTTTCAACATTTCAACCCCTGAAATTGGACTAAGGTAATCCTCAATTGCTAGAGCCCTGNCCCTGGGGACTATAGTTCAGCTTTCAACATTTCAACCCCTGAAATTGGACTAAGGTAATCCTCAATTGCTAGAGCCCTGAGGAGCCTGCAGGAGCAAGGGTAAGTACTGTGGAGAGAGATGGCATCATCTGAGGCCTTAAACTATATCCTTAGTATCCCAAATATATGTCTGACCCACTATAAAAAGTGACCAGGTACATTAGGAGAAAAACAACAAGAATTAGAAGTGACACAAAAAAAGCACGCAATAGAACTAAATACCCAGGGGCTCCAGATATTGGATTTACCAAATATAGACTTTAAAACAACTGTGCTTGCTATATTGGAGAAGATAAAACACAAGGTTTAGAATTTCAACAGAGAACCAGAAATTGTTGATTAAGAACCAAAGGGAAATTCTAGAATCAAAACACACAATGTTCTCACCCTCTTGAAACCCTGAGACCATCAAGAATTCTGGCCTACCTTCCTTGGGGATGACACCAAATAGAGAGGTCCTGCCAACAGCCAGCGTTAAGCACAAGACATGTGAGGGAGGCCACCTGAGGCCATCTGAGGCCATCCAGTCACTCGCCGCAGTGACACCAGGTGAGACCAGAAGGACTGCTAACCTGGCCGCAGCCCGAATCACTCACCCCCCAAATCATCAGCAAGTAAAACAATTAGAGTTTTAAGTCATTTGATTTTTTGGGTGGTTTTTAAAAATAATAATCTAAAGAGAATTTATATCTTTATAAAATGAAGCCTTCGAAACCATGAATATAAATATACCTTTGCATTTATACAGAGATTCCTTCATGATTTTTGTCCTCTAACCGTCGCATTCCAATTGAAAAAAAAAAAACAAACTGAAAAAGAAATCGTTTGCCCTTCACTGATAGGCCCATTTACACTGCATTGGTTGTAAGTAAAGGCGGTGGAAATTGAAGAACAGAGAGACACTGTGAATTTCTAATAATAATTCTTTAATTCAAGGCCAGAGCCACCACCAGTACCAAGGGCTCCAGACATCCCAGCCTCTCCAGTCCCTCTTGAAGGGTGAGCAAAAACTCAATGTGCCTGCCAGTCATCGCTTTAAAGGTCCATGTTATTAGCAGCCAAATAGATGAGCAAATGTTAGTAACACAAAGAAAAAAAAAGAAAAATATTGGGTCTTTGGAGTTCCATGCCCATGGGCAGCTAGCTCCCTATTACGGAAAACATCCCTGCAAACTACTTCCCCAATAGCTTTGCTTTCTTTCCCAACCCCAGGAGGGCTGACACAAAGCTCTCATTTCGTACAGAATAAAAGATGTTATTTTCCTTTCTTAAGTTATTCCTCTGTAGAGCTCCCAATTATAACATGATTTTTCTCATTTCATTTCTTAAGCGAACAATTCCTTATGTATGAAAAGCAATTTAATACATGTTTGTCCCCCGTATCATATTATTTTGTTCCACAGCTGCATACTTGGTTTATTTTGGTAACTCGCTGAATTGCTTTCACTGAATTGTAGTTTGGCTTTGTTGGACCTAAATTGAGGAGCACAGTAAGAAACAGCCAAACAGAAGCTGCTGGGAGAGTTATTACAAGGTTGCTGAGATGATGGATCCCACATGGTCTTTTTTACAAAGACTCAAGACAACTCTCTCTTTCTCAGGGCGCAGGGTTAGGAAAGGCTGTGCTTTATCTGAAGAACTAATCTGCTTTGATCTCGTGGACACAATTTCTATAAACGGATGCTGTTTCTCTTTTCTCTGAAGGCTAAGAAAGTTGAGAACCAAATTCATATCCTTCCCTTGGCAACTGTTTCAGGACATGAGTTCACCTCATACTCTTGTATAACTAGTCCTCTGGCCCAGATTGCCCGCTGAACTTATTTTACATTTGTATTATATGTATTTTTGTACATTCATGTATCCCTTTTGTGGGATAAGATCTAGTGTGGATAGACAATTATATGCCTATATACACACATACATTGTAGGTCAGGCTTTAAAGAACAAAAAAGCACAACATTTGTTTTCAAAGCCTGGCTGGCTCTTTCACTAGCTGTGTGACTAGTAAAAGCAAATGACTCAACCTTTGCAAGACTCGCTTTTCTCACATGTGCCCTCAAGATAGAACCCTCCTCACCAGCTAGTGTGGAAAGTCCGGAAAGCTCCATGAAACAACAGAAACATATAACATGTATCTGTAAATTTGATGAGCAAATGAAATAATGTGACCCTGACTTCTACATGGCATGTTAGTACCCAGACCAAGCCTGCGAAAGACAACTTGTCAATGCGTGTCCTGGCCAGGGAAGCAGATTGCTGTCCGCCAGCCACAAATCATCCCACAGAGGAGAGGTCATTCCCTGGGCTCTGCTTAACTGGGACAGTCTTACAGATAGGTGGCCACGGATGGGGAAAGTGTATGCTGAAACTGTAAAGATAAGAGATTTCGTTAATTTTACTATTTATATGCTTCTGTAGATGTTAGCAGAACGGTAAGAAATACTGCATGCAGACCAGTAGAAATATATGCTTTCAAATTCCCCAGTACCATGGGGCAATCATGTGATGCCCACAAAATATTCCAATAAATAGAATCCCTCTTCTCTTCAGATCACCAGGCCATTTCAGTCCAGACCAGAATATGTTTGAGATCTGGGGTTCCAGGACTGTCTCTGCTTCTTCCATAGGTTCTTTTTTTAATATTTCTATTGACTTCCAGAGGGAGAGAAAGGGAGAGGGAGAGAGAGAGAGAAACATCAATGCAAGAGTGAAACATCACTTGGCCACCTCCTGCACGTCCCCCGCTGGGGATCAAGGCCACAACCGGGCGTGTGTCCTGACCAGGAATCCAACCGGCGGCCTTTGGTGCCCAGGACAATGCCCAACAACCAACCGAGCCACACTGACCGGGGTCTCCATCAGTTCTTTTAGAGGGGACTGGCCATCTGGGTCCAGTCGAGTCTGAAGATCTCACTAGCAC